TTTACTTTTAACATCGATTAATGATGTCTCTTGGGCTACGAGGTTGGGCTTCTCCACCGATTGCTTGCATGTCTTGCAAGTCTTGACGAAGTCATAAGCTCACAGCTCGAGGTAGCTCAACGCATTGGCCTTTTTTCCCCAATTGGTTACTCCGCGTTACTGATGGAATGATGCCGGGAAACCAGGCCTAGGCCTACATAACCGACGCCAGATTGACAGTGACGTATCGGCCATTCACGATTACGCAGCATTTCACCTTTTCCTCGGATAGACCACCATCATGGTTCAATGTAGCCAGCCGTATCCGGAATGCGACTGTGTCCGACGATAAAGTAGCCGAGAGATAGGCGTACAGGTCATCCATCCCCCGGCCTCGTTTGAGAAAGGATAGTCCGAAAGTTGAACACTGCATCACATGATCTCTGGCGTTAGTCTCGTGGAAGGATGTGTGGAAGACATTCAAACTCGAATCGGTTCTTAGAATGGAAGCCGAGGTTTTTGTGAACCTAGCGCAATAAACCCATGACTAAAAGCCTATGGTAGGCGTTGCTGTAGCATACTGGCATGCTTCTAGTGTAGGAGGAGTGTCGAAAAAAAGGTGCGATGTACCCCTCCAGAATGTAACGTGGCGATACCGAATGTTTTCTCGAAGCACCATCTTCTGAATTCAGTCCATGAACCCGTATGTCCATTCACCGTGAAAACACGATTCTCGCCATTCTTAGAAAGCTATCACGGTTTTGCCTCGAATGCGTGCCTCCAGCCTGGAAATCTTACTTATGTTGTCAGATTTTAGGTTGGTTTTATTGACAATATATTTTCTGGTGACGTCCAGAAGTGACTGGAACCAAGATTTAGGTTGAATGGAAGGTGGTGATTGCTGCTATGCGGATTTCAACCATCCAGTTGCTAGAAAAACCGGATGTCTGTCAAGCAAGTCGCAATTAAGGTCGCGTCTTGCGAATGTAAAACTTCTTGAGGACTTCCATTAAAATATGCAAAGTATTCGATGCTGTTCGAATACGCGCGTCGTGAACTGAACTGAACTGTACTCAGACATTTTACCAGGCTGCACCCATGAGGGCACGTTTCGACAGATGCATTCACTTTATTTTCATTCAGCTCTTTTTTTTATGCAAGCACTTTCGTAAAGCTTTTTCCGTATTTGTTTGTTTGTTTGTTTTTTTTTTTTTTTTTTTTTTTTTTTTTTTTTTTTTAGGGAATCCAGTTCTTTTTAAGAATCCTAATTAAGTATTACGACGTCGACCTATCCCAAACTCGTCTTGAGCGCCGTATCATCATCAATCATCAGCTGCTGATTATGGAAATTCCGCTTGGAACGTGACCCACAAGAGGATGTAAGATTCCAGTCAGGACACATCCAGTATGCTCTGGTCGATGGATTTTGAAAGGAGTGTCAGGTTCAGGTGGTAAATGGATTTTTTTTTTCTTCCGGACTATAAGTTGCTCCGCGACCTCAGCGTGATGTCATGGAATTCGACAGTGCAGTGACCTACATGAAGAACCGTGAACCTCTCTCCTTATGAGAGAAATGCATTTCGACTGCATGTAGGCGGCCGGTTCCAGCTTTTTCAACCTCTTCCAGTCGTTCGGGAAACGCAGTGAAAGTGGGAGTGCACGAAGTAAAAGCGATCGGGTTAGAAGACGAAGGACGAGCAGCGCTAACCAGTGGTGAATGCATGTAGTGTGCTTGAGTCCGTTTTTTCGTCATTACAGTCATTGTAGGTTAACGTGGGTCAGTTTGCACTTTTCCTTGATGAAGAGCAAGGTTTCATTAAGTCTCGTTATATGTCGCCCCTATATTCTGCGCCTGTAGAAATAACTTTTCATCGCTGAGTTCTGTAGCGAGTTGGAGCAACCTCGGCACGGTTTTTTCTTTTTTTTTTTTTAGTGTGTCGATCACATTATAGCAGAAGATCCTACGGAGTAGAATGTTGGTCGAGAAATTGCAGAGGTATCTCTAGCCACAGTTGCTAGGTTGGGTCGAGTATCAGTATCTGCAGCCAACTCGATAGCCAGTTGCCACGCCATCTGGCTATCGAGTGTACTCGTCAGCCGCGCTAGTAACACAACTTTCCGCTATCGAGTTCTTTCGATCGCCGCGGTGAAAGAGTTAGTCTGTGAAGTTCCTTCCGCCCCCTGCATCATATCCCCATGCAGCAGGTCGAGGTACGTACAGAATTAGTGCTTCATTTGTGCTGCAGGGATGGGAGTTTCTGTTTGTTCCGTTCGCAAGAAATTAAATAACTGTTCGTGATTTGGGAGAGGGGACAGATTTCGCATAAGTCTGCCTCCTCCGCCGGGCGAATATTCCACGTAAGCGTGGGTCCGAGATACTTCGCATGGAATTAGTTCCTAAGTACTGTATTCCCTAAAAATTCTGAAATCGTCAATATTGCAATTATTATTTTTAAATGTATCATTCATTTACATTTTGATGTTTCGCGTCGTTTTATAGCCCAACTACCCATTAAATACTCTTAGATTAAATTCAGACCGATGGGTGGGTTCTTGGGGATTTCTACGAATGTCATTGCTCTTTCACCAACTGAACTTACAATATTTCCGACGCATTGGGTGTGCACAGAATGCAAAGGAAAAGCCACAAGTTGTGGTTTTAAGGAAAATGTATATTCTTAAGTGCACTGTAAATATTTTTATTCTTCCAAAATAAGTTAATTGACCTTCGTGAAATGGTATCATGTCGTATAATGTGCATGGGAATTATCCCCTCTCGTTGTCGTTCAATAAGCCTACCACCGATCGCATTCAGAGTTTGAACGCTTTAATGTTCTGTTACTTGCTTGCGACATGGACACAGTCTTGAAGAAACCTGATATTTTTATCAGAAGGCACAGAAAAAACGCATAGACGAAGATGGGTGGGAAATGTTTTCCATCACCCCCTTTGTGATGACCAACTCTGGATCAATAGAGAAGCGGAAACTGTTCTGCTGCCTAAACAGTTTAAACTGTGGATGTGAATCCTTGGCTCTGTTTGGAACGTCGAGCAGAGGGTTCGAGTATCTGAGTCAGAGAGACAGGCAAGAAGGTATCTCCTCTATTCATTTTATTTTTATTTTTTTTTGTGATTTGTCATGCTTGTCTTACGAATCCGGCAAGGAGACTCGTTCTATTATGGTTTTCACGTGCATGGCTGGGTTCACTGATTGAATCTGCAATACTCGACAGTAGATAAGGAATGTATTAGCCTTTACAGAAATGGATTATGGTAACGCAACCAACTTGATGACGCTTCTCGATTAAAGATCGGCTAATACCTTATCAAATAAATTCATTGCAATTAATCAGCGAAAGTATTTCTGTAGCCAAATCTTCTCCAGTAATAGACCCTCTTTCGACTGCGTGGTGAATTTTTCCTCGGTGCCAGTATTCTTGATGTGTCGATAAACTGGAACCGTAGTTGAAACTGAAATGTTCACCGATTTGTAGGAGGGATATTTGGAGCAATTGCAATTTTTCAATCGATAAAATTTTCCATTCACCAGCCCAAGAACGAGAGGTTTGATATTTTTTATGTATTAAAAGGCCTATGTTAGAGNGATATTTGGAGCAATTGCAATTTTTCAATCGATAAAATTTTCCATTCACCAGCCCAAGAACGAGAGGTTTGATATTTTTTATGTATTAAAAGGCCTATGTTAGAGTATGAGAGACAAGGACGATGATTCGGGCGAAACGATTGGATGGATTCTTGCCTTTCCCTTCGGTCGATTCACTTCGCTTAGAGTGCATCCATGAAGAAAGAAAATGGCTTCACCTGAACATCTTGGTGTCCTCTAGTCTGCATCAGTGAACAATCACAATACATAATGCAGGACGGTGCACGTCAATGCACAAAACACTACAGTGTGGCATTGTTGGCTTACTTCGTGGATGCATTGGAGATCAGCCTGGTCTCCTCTCATCCACGCGAGTATGAACTTTTCCCTATTGATACTCAGCAGTTCGTGCCCAATGTCGTCAGTTGACTCAGCTCGAAGAGAAGTTGTGCTCTTTGATCCAACACTCCACTAGTCGGTGTAGATTTCTTGTAAGCCTGTCAAGGGGGTGTGTGCCCATTCCCTCCAAATCATGGAGTTTTTTTTTATAATGCAGTATCTCCCAAACTGAAGGAGAACTAATACTCATTCCTGCTATACTAATTAATGCTTATGAAACACTGACTTTATGCGCATTATCATCCCATTTTCCATAAGCGTTAATAAGACTTCACGGTCGTGAAGAGCAGTCACTGTTTCCAGTAGAGCTATGATAATTAGAAGTCGCACTTTTCCGGGGTCCTGTAAAATTGTTTCTCTTGACATGTCAATCATTGGTCGGAAGCCGTTAGCAGTTGTGGCTTGGTTGGCACCTTTCCCGCTCACGTGAATGGATGGATGGTACACGGCTTCGTGCCAAACGGATAAAAACTTTCCAGTCGCCTCCTCTTCTTGCGGCCAACAACTTCTCCGTTGCATAAAGTCCTGTGATCCCAGGACACACTGTGTAGTAGACCCTCGAGGGGTGAAAAATGGTTGTTACCTGCACTCACGAATAGGTAGGACGACTGATTTTCTCAGATGCATTTTACTTTCTACTCGTGCGCGCAGTAGACGACCAGAAGTATCCACGTGCTTCATTGATTCCATCCAATTGATAAAAGGCGTCGCTACATGCGCTGTTACGTTCCCGCAGATAAGGAGACAGAAACCTACTCCTCCTTACTCGTCGGAGAGGAAGCATTAAGTAACGCCCAGTATGCTCTGTCGCCATCTTTTTTATTGTTCAGTCCACCGCGAAAGGAAACATCGACGGCGGGGTCTGGAGTCTATTTTCGGGGTGGCCCTATTGATCACCTTCCTCTTCTCAAGCCCGGGTGACGTCATCGCTTCCCCGTGACGTCACTCCGGTCGGGACAAGGGAAGGCAAGGCAAAAGAGTCTGTCTCAGTCTAGGAGAGGATGCCAAAGTGTTCCGTGTTGGGGTGCAAAACGAGGCACGGGGAAGGCCTCCACACTCATATGTACGGATTCCCCTGCCCGGCCTTGTTTCCCGGCCTTCATGCTTCGTGGGTGGAGGCTGTGAAGAGGCAGGGTTTCTCCCCTGGGAATGGGGCTCGAATCTGTTCCATCCACTTCAAGGATGAGGATTTTGACAGCTCGGATCTCCTCAGGTGTCGATTGATGCCTCACGAGAGGCATCGGGCGCCGAGGCTCATGCCCAGTGCTGTTCCTTCCCTCCATATCGCTCAGGATCCGCGCGCGTTCCTCGCGCACTTTGGGTTTACGCTTTGGAACACGTGAGCGGACTTTTAATCTCATTCTCAGCGGCAGTTAAGAACGGATGGGGATACGACGTGAACTTACTTCCTTCTGCAGCGAGACAAATAATATATGAGAGTTTCCATTTCTTATGAAAGCTGTGAGTCTTGGTTTTCTCAATTGCAGTGAAGTGATGGGAATGCCCATCGAAGGTGATCTGGAGACAATGGAGAAATCTCAAGACAGCCCTGATTCTGCGCTGGATTCTATTGGACAGCAGGTTCAAGAGCCCAAGGAAAATGTGAGTTATCTCGTAATCTTTGTTTTTCAAACATTCTTTTTCGTTGCTTTTTCCGTCGTTAGGACAAAAAAAAAGCCATCCATTTGGAACTCCTTTGGAGCCTTTTTCGTCGGATTTAAAAAGAAAATCCTGGAAGTATGTTCTGTTGCATATCAGGTACCATGAGGAAGCCAGGGCAGCGTGCAATCACTGCATCACTCATCACTGCAAGAGGTTTCTTCAATATGGCATGGTACTTGGTGTACCCGACTTTAGAATGTCAACACTTTTCATCATGGGTTTCACAAGTGAAGGATTCTTAAGTTCCACAATTGCGAAAAGCCCTGGGATTGCATTTAGTTGAAATTATTGTGAACTATTAACTGCAAGCTTGCATTGTTGATATGAGTGTTATAATCAAGATGTTCAGATTAGCAAAGTGCCTTGCCTGAACACCAGATAATGTCCAAGCTGCAGGGTGTGATATCAGCAGAAGTCCAATATAATGGATGAAAAATTTTCAGCTCCAGGGGAAATGTTCCATTCTTAGATAATATATATTAGTACTTGGTATTAAAATGGTTAACCAAAACCACTGGAATACTGTCATTAAAATGTGGCTTGTTCATTTTCCAGGGTGAGGAGGAGAGCCCAAAGGAGGCAGAGGAGGGAGAAAATGAAGCTGAGAAGGCCATCTCTGAGTCATCAGCCTCCCCTGCCAGCAAGAATGATAAGTTGACAGGTAAAGCTTTTACATTGGTGTCAGTCACTTGAATCTGTTTATCACTGAATACTCATTACACTAATGTTGCAATGACATTGCAGAGCCAAAGGAACCAGAAACAGGAGAGAATAGAGTGGAAGATGGGGATGTAGAGAGGAAAGGAAGTGAAGAAGAAGAGGAAGAGGAGGAAGGCAGTGGAGGAGGTGGAGGAGGACAAGGATCACATGAGGATGATGAACCAGGAGATGGGGAAGTTGTTCAAAAAGATGTTGAAGGGGACAGTGATAGTCAAGGTTCTATGACATTGAAGGACTCTGAGTGCCAGGTATAAAGTCCAGTTTCCTATCATAAATCCAGATTGCATTTCCAAGACACATTTAGGGTATTGCAAGCAGGGCTGAATTAAGAAGTTGTGAGGCCATGGCTCTCATTCTTGGCTTCCCCTCCCCCTTGCTACTTTATGCATATACTTCATGTTTTTAATTTCCTTTGGGTGCCCCCTGGAAAAGTGTGCCCTGGGGCAACAGCCCCCTTTGCCCCCCCCTCCTCCTCCCATAATCTGGCCCTGATTGCAAGTTGTTCTTTAGAACAATATAGAGAAATGGTTTTGTAATAGGGGTGACACAGGACCAAAATCTGATCATTTGGATAGGTGCCTCCAAAATAAAAAAAAGAACCCATCATTCTACATTTTATACATCATGACCAGTATTGCTGTTTCATTTCTGCTTTTTTTGTTTCATATAGTTGATTGTTTGGATTTGGTTGTGTCTAGGTGTCGACAAGTGAAGCTGGGAACCTGGGGAAGCGTCCACTGGATGAAAACTCTTCTTCAGCTTCATCAGAACCCAAACGCCCTCGACTGGCAAGCCCCATACCAGAAGAGCTCCCACAAGTCAAAGACATGGACACCTTGGAGAACCTCATGCATTCTGTTCGCAAGGAGATACGTGACCTGGATACCCAAGTGAAGGAAAAGGAACGGGAATGGAACTATTTGATTCATCTGAAGAAACGAAAGGAGGAATACTATCTACGACTGAAACGAAAGAAAGCTGTGGAAGCAATGCAGACCAAGTCTTCGTCGGATAAAGAACTCTTATCATTGCTTCAAGGCCCTTCAGGAAAACCATCAAGTACGACGTCTCCGTTGTTGAGTGCTGAGCTGCGACGGTGTGACCCAGTCTCCAGTCGGTCTGCTTCTGAGTCACTGTTGAGTGCTGAGTTGCGACGGGATGCCTCAATGCCACGGGTTCTCACACTGAACCCAGAGAGCCTCTACACGACAAAGCCACGTGTGAATTTGGAGGCAGAGCAGCGTATGTTGTTGCATGAGGCCTTGTATGCATCAAAGCCCAAAGTGAGTGTGGATTCTCTGATAGCAGAGCACCGTGCGCGGAACCCTCATCCGCCAGAGTTGCGGGGGAAACGTCCTCGAATGCGGGAGAATCCAGACAAGCACTCCCCAGAAGTGGAGATCCTTGTTGAGCCTTCCAGTTCTAAAGTGATCGGAAGCAAAGAAGTTTCTTCTTCCTCAGCAGCAGGAAGTGGAGAATCCTCTTCATCTTCATCGACCAAGGTTCTGTATCGTGATATGTTGGTACATTTGGCCAAGATGAGTGAAGGGAAGTCATGTGTTCCCCTAGCTAGACCAGGCCCTACTCCAAGTTCATCCACACCTCGCCTAAACAGTGCTGCTGACTCCCTCCAGAACATATCCTTGAAGTCTCTTCTTGATGATACCAGGAAAGTGAGTGACTGAACATGCTTTCTTCTTTTTTGCTTTCTAATATTGTTTACCAATGGCCATTCTGCACTGTTGAGCAATTTCTTTTAAGAGCCAACAGAAGAGATAGTGGAAGAGTTTTGGGATTTATCTTGGACACATTGAATGAGGCACTTCCCATTCATGAGTATTTGAGTTAAAAGAAAAATAAAGACAAGTGGAAAGGAAGTTTTCATGTAGAGGGCAGTGCTGATGCATTGAATATCTTAATGTGAGCAGAACAGTTTGAATGAATTGAAGGATAGGGTAGGCTGGATTCATTTTGTGTGTCTGACTGAATTGAAAATCTAGATGTGCTTGAAGATGTTAAAGTGAAAACAAGTCTGTTTTGCAATTTAAGGGACGTGATACAGGATCGAGTGCATGCCAGGACAATGTGGCCAGTTCTAGCAGCCAGGTGAGCCTACCCTGATGTTCCTGAAATTAATGGTTGCCTTGACTTGTAGTATGAGAAATGCCAGACTTGTTACCTATGAAAGGGAATTATTATTTAATATTACAAGTATTCCATCCCAAAGGTAATCATTTTCAACTAGAATTACCCCTTACTAAATGTAGCTCGTTAACACAGGCAGATTCCTTTTCCAGTTACTAATCCCAAGATATGATGACTTGGAATGCATCCTTATCCAATAGTATTCCACTGAACAACATTGAAATTTTGCTTGCTTCACATCTTCTATTTGCATGTTTCCTTAGAAGAAGCTACTTCTTATGCTGGAGTAAAAAAGTATGATTTGCTTTTAGGTGAAAATGTTCCCTCCTACACTAAGTAACTGCTCTGCAGTAGCACTAGCTGGCAGAGGAGTGTCGTATTTGATTAACAAAATTTTCAGCTTTGCTAGTGACTTCAATGATGACGAGATTACATGGTCATAAGACACGGGTCACTTTAAGCATACATTGCATTTGTCAAGAAAAGTTGCATGTTACAGTGATACCACTTCTTTTTCTATGGAAAAGGGACTAGATACCTATCCAATTACTTGCACCTGGGAAGTAAATTTTTACCCCTGAAATTACCATAAAGTATTGATTATTACCATGAATAAAAATGAATTACTGTAACACATTACTTTTAGTCTGTTACTGTCCATCTACAAATATGAAGAATAGAAATAGCTAAAAGAAAGGTATAATTTATTGCTTCTCATGCTTAGGGCAAAGGGAAGGAGGGCTCAAACAAAGTGGGAGAGTCACAGCCCCAACCCAAGTGTCAGGGTTGCAAAAGGAGTGCAGCTCAGTTTGTCTGTGCTGGATGCAATCGGCAGTGGTACTGCTCTCGAGAGTGCCAGGTGAGACAAAGGAAGAAAATGTTTGTTAATGGTCCAACAAAATGCAAAGTAGAAACCTCACACTCATTTGATTCCAATTTGCAGGTGAATGACTGGGACGAACATGCAGAAGTGTGTAGTGGCTGAAGAAACTGGCATCGGCTCGACTTGTTCAGTCTCATCGGTCTTCCACAGATGAGCAAAGAAACTGCTCTCTTCAGATCCTGGATATTCATCCCTTGAGTTATGATCTTGATCTAGGATAAAGGGCTGCATTGAGGAATTGAATTCTGCTGATGTCCATGACCATTGAAATGCAGTTTCAGTTACAGGTGTTGAAGCAAAATAATCTTGAGTATCTTTGATGGGATGAATCCTTATAAGAAAGGATTTTGATTTAGTCATCTCTGTATCTCCCAATCCCTAATGGTGCCCATTTCACAACTGTACAGAGAATCACATCTTACAGTATTATTAGAATTCAATGCCTATGCCTTCATGGAGAGGAGAGAAGAAAAGGGAAGTTTTTATTTATGAAGTCAGATATAATTATTATCCATATGATTTACATGAGAATAAGGGAAACCCTGTGTGCCATTTCTGGTCACTGTCTGGCGCTTGTTGTGTAATTATGTGTCAAAAGTAAAGAAGGGGGTGACATCACTTGTGTTCTGTTAACCATGTTTTGTTTTGTTGATGGATCCAGATCTCATGACTCTCCAGTGATGGGAATAAATATGGGACAGTGTTTATGCCCCGATCCTGGTGCTTTCTCTTCCCCATTCTCGTTGTACTGATGTACTGTAGAACCACCCAAGAAGACCAGTTTTTAGAGATGGTTTTACATGGTGTCTCAAAAGTAGTGTCAGAATTGTAATACTACAATAGCAGAAAACAAAGCGAAGGAGAATAAAGTTTATATGTTTTCAGCTCTCCTGGATGTCAGGAGTTACATTATAGAGTTATCACATGTGCGTCACACGTGGCAAGTAATGCCTTCTATCCTCCATCTCGCTGGTAGCAATTGTTTGCACTGCAGCACCATAACCTTTCCATGAGGGACCTATGGTTCCAATAGGATGGAATTTATCAAGCCCAGGACGCAATGACACTGTTGTGTACCATTTTTTCCGAGCTCATTATTCCCCATTTCGGTGACATGGCGAACGAGATCCCCGGGCTTCGCACCAGATTATTTCCTCTTGGGGGTACTTGAAAGAACGTGCTTACGCAAATAAACAACGGAAAATTGCTGCACTGGAAGTCAATCGAGGCTATCTCCCAGGAAATCCTCGCCAGAGGGCTGGCAGCCGTGATCCATGCTTGCAAATGCTGTCTGCGAGATTAAACACATTTGCAAGACATTATTTCTCATATGTACCGCGCGCGTGAATACCCCTTGATAACAGTGGTGTAATTCCTGACACTGAGAAGTGATGCAAGCATAAGAACTTTATTCTACTTTGCCTTGTTTTCTAGTAATGCACTATAAAAAATCCCAGCTCTACTTTTGGGACATCTTGTATATTCTGACCTGAGTTATTGTCAGCTGCTGGGGTGAGACGGATGTGGGACATTGTAGGTTAATGTTTGAGAACTCTTCCAAGATGTGGGAAGGGGAGTAAAATGGTATACACAATATCTTGAGGTGGCATTGGGGAGGGAATTAACAGTTCGCGAGTCTGCTCCTTTCCCACCTCGGTGCACGAATTAAGGATATAAGCATAGAGAAGAGAATGTAACTAGAGGTGACATTCCACTCGAATTCCATTCATTGACAGGGTCGCAATATAGATGTCGCTGTCGATCCTCCACCTAACGTGCGCACATGAAATAACTCCTCAACGACCAAGCAGCAGACTCGACGAGACACACGTATGTCTACATTATGGCAATAACATATAACGTAAGGCTACGTTATACGCCGAGAAACTCCCTTTGGGTCGAATCCCCGAATGAGTCGATTCCCGATTCCGCTGCCACGAAACACGCCTCACAGAGCTGTTGTTGAAAACAAGCCTCCAGATGTCTCTGTAATATTTGGACCTCCCCGGCCCCGCCCCCCCTTACCTCTCGGAGTGTCGCCTCTAGTTACTCCAGGGGTGTCAAACTGGCGGCCCGCGAAGTCCTCTTCAACAGTCGGTTACGGAAAATCACTGCAAATTTCAGCCTGTCTGCATAAAAGATTCTATATTAGGCTTTTATTGTGGCCCCTAATCACCTCTGAAGGCTTCCATCCGGCCCCCAGCCTCATCGAGTTTGACACCCCTGAGTTACGCTCTCTACTCTATGGATATAAAGGCCCCAATACACGAGGCAAGTCCTTGCTTACAAGAAGCAGCGAGGGTGTACACGAAGCAAGTAGACTCTAGCAAGGACTGGCCTCCACTTGCTCGAAGTTGTCAAGCATCTGTGAAACGAAGTCGAAAAGAGCGAAAACACACACCTACTATAGGTGTAGAGAGATCTTTCGTGGGTGATTGTCTTTGTATTCCTACAGACCTTGACCTAGGTCTAGTCTCCGTATACCTGCAGACAGTGGCGTAGCCAGGATTTCGCCTGGCTACGGCTAAGCGGAACGGTGGGAGGGCTGAAAATTCCCCTACTACTCCTCGCAGGGGGAACGGGGGGGGGGGGGGGGGGGGGGGGGCCCCCCCCCCGCGTAAAGTAAAATGCACTCGACTCCAAAAAAACAAGGTGACAAAAGTACGAGGAACGTTCTGAAAGTTCCGATTCTTTTTTTTTCTCCACGACCAAAAGTGATCTGTTACGAACTGCCTGCAGACCATGATTTAGGCATAATTTTGTGTGACATGGCGCCGCAACTCTGAAGCCACGGAGGCCCTCATTACTGGCTTCCGTGATCGACCTTGTCTCTGGAATGTTATCATGTAAGAGTATCACGACTGCTCCATCAGGCATCGGGTAAGGAAGCCATAATGATATACCCTATTATGAGAGCAATATCTCTCCCTTGATTTAACTTCGAATGCACAGGGGGCACTTCAGACAAACAATTTTCATTAAGAAACAAGGACCAAAGGGCCCCCCTGCTCCTATAAAGTGCAGGGGACGCCATGAGCCTCACCCCAATTGGTTCCCACAGGGTCTTCCCGACCGATCAGAGCGAGACTTGCTTACGAGTCTTCTAGGATTTTGAACCGAGGGGAAAGTGGAAGCAAGCACTTGCCCGGACTTGCTGGAGCGAAGCAAGTGGCGATACACGAGGCAAGTTTCTTGGCAAGTGCTTGCTAGCAGGGACTTGCTAGCAAGAACTTGCCTCGTATATCATGGCCTTAAGGAACGAGCCAGGGCGTTGGTGCCCTCTCTGTCGGTCGCGGCGTTGACGGACTTGCATGCAGCGTCCACACCTGGTTCTTGAGGTCATCTTGAAGCCGTTTGTTCTGGTCAATGAGTAGGGCGTGTCGTAACGCAAGGTCAGTGGCGAGGGTCAAGGTTTACGCGATTCCAACTTCCAAGTCCAATCAGAAGGGGTAAGCGATCGGTTGAGCCATTTCTGTGTCGCTGGGAGGAGCCACGTAATCGGACATTCGCAAGGTTTTCAAATGATTCTTTTAAGCAACGTAGGCCCGAGGAAAATACACTGCTAGGGACTGGGGCAACCACTATCGGTAACTCAATACCTGTAAGTCAGTAATGCACAATCCGAAGCCCGCGGAGACCTTTTTTGCGGTCCCTTGGATGCCTCCGGTCTCTAAAGATCCATATTATGAGGCCTATTTCGGCTCATATTCGAGAGCCTTAGCCCCTCGAACCCTTCGAACATGAGCCGAAGTCTCAATTTGGCCCTCTAGGGGAAAAGGTTGTGCACCACTGTTCTTAAGCATTCGAAAGTACATTCAAAGAATTAAGATGACTATTTGCTCCACTAGGTGCTCACGCGTTATTCTTTCGTTGTAAGATATGAATTCAGATAGTTCTCATCGTTAATTTTTTTTAAATGGAAAATTAAACTCCAAATGTTCACAGTGTGAATGTTCACTGTTCCCCCTCCACCCCAGTTAAGGCCAGAAACTGATCACAGTCTCTTGTTTTTAACCCTTTCATGGCTGAATTAAGAAGACGAATAACTAGGATTTTTTTAAATCAAAATTTCTCTTCACAACCTTGTTTTTGATTCGATATGCCTGAATAACAGCCTACTTGAACGAACGATGAATCCGCAAATAGCCCTCGTCGAGAGCCACCAAACGGTACAATATAAAGCCGCCATTTTCCCAATATACGCGGTGTTAAAAAAAACTGCCAATTTACTTTTTAGAGGAATGATAGTAAATTTCATCCGATCGGCCCAATATTTCACAAATTGCATGTGGATAGATGAAAGAAGGTATTTGCCAAATTTGAACGATATTGACACAATGTGTCACGTGCTACAACGTTTAAAAGTCGACGGTTAAGAAAATGCTCCGGACATCCTGCAGATGCCTCCGCCTCAGCAGTACAGCAAGCGAGTGTCTGTACGTGCCATACAGTGACGTGCCAAGGAGGTTAACTTCCCTGGCTGAGGAGAACGCATCAGGAGGCTCGTACGGCTCACTTTTTTGCTATCAAGTTTGAACTGGTATAGAACGTGATACAATGCGTCAAATTTTTATTTTTTTTTTCCAAATTTGGCACATACCTCCTTTCCCTTATCTAAATGCAGTATTTTAAAAATTAAGTCGATCTGATAAAATTTACTGTCATTAATCGCGAAAATGATTCGGCAGTTTTTTAACATCGTGTAGTAACGCAAGAGCAGTCTCATATGATCATAAGATATGATCCTTATTATGATCATTCGCCACGAAAGGGTTTATTGGGGACTCAAAGTTGGCAGAAATTCCCTGCGACGTCCTTCCTCGCGCAAACGATCGGATCTGAACCGTCATCCAGTCATTCATGTGCCCCTTGAGAACGGTGTCTGCATTGGGTGCAGTTCGTAACAGATCACTTTTGGTCGTGGAGAAAAAAAAAGAATCGGAACTTTCAGAACGTTCCTCGTACTTTTGTCACCTTGTTTTTTTGGAGTCGAGTGCATTTTACTTTCCCCCGATGTAGCTAACCGACAAGGAACACCCATCGACTCGAATGGAACCGTCAGACGCACGATGCCAATAAAGAGGGTATGCATCAGTATGCTTGAAATCTCTGTTCCTTCCTGCTTCGACTCTATTTGTTTCGGCTTCCCAGGTGGTTCCGCGCGACATCGGCTCATTTTGCAAGGAGGGGGAAAAAGTCACCGACGCCTCGAAAAATGAGAGACTTTTCAGGAAATGGAGACGAGATGTTTCCCAGCAAACCACGTACATCCCAACCATAGATCGCGAACGGGGGCGTAGGCAAGATTTTACCAAAGAGAGGGGAGTGGGGAAGAGGTCTAGAATTCCAGTAACGGACAGAAATTTTTTCGGAGGCTGAGGTAGCAGATGCATTTAGAACCGAGTTAAAGAGGTTAGAAGCAAATCCGAGGTGGCTGAAGCTTCCCCACCTCCCTCCCTCGTCCTCCGCCTCCCTAGGCTGCCGATCGTGAAAGGACACGAAACTCGATCGAGCGAGATCCCTCGTGACCCGATCGGGAGGAGGGAAATAGACTGGTTCTCGTGAACGGACGCGTCGGGTTACAGATGAGAAAAGGGGACTAGATGGGGATAGATGCATACCAAAATCCCAAATGGCTTACAGTCTAGGGGAACACCATCTATACCAACGAGTGATTTTTTTAGGCGATGGGATGGGATGGAGGCAAGTCCGTGGCACGAGGGACGACTGACAGACGGTTAATTTTGTTTTATCCACATTAACCCTGTGACATGACTCGGGAAAGAAGCCGGAGAGAGGAACGAGATTTTCCCTTGTTCAACCGATAGCGTGCTGGGAAGAATCTCGAGGAAAATGAGGAAAAGAGGGGGGGGGAGGAAGACACTCATAAATGTCGAAGGAGAGGAAACTAAAATCTTTCCTTTCTGCCTCAAACGTCGTTAACATAACATAACGTTAACATAGCGTTAAAAAAAAAAGAACTTTACGTTGAAGAAGCATGGTGACAAAATGAAACAGCACCTGAAGCGACGCAATCCGGGGGATAAAATTGTACTTTGAAATATATTTTTTTTATTTCAGGCAGAACTCAACTTTATAAACAAATTTAATGAAATTTGACAAATAAAATTTAAAATTCTATATCCATGGGTGGATTGCATGAAACTAATGCCAGCATTAGCCAAAAACTGTATTATCTAAAGGAGGTTTAATGTGAGGCATTGCATGAAAAAATTAAAAGTTACATTAGCTAGCTGACAGCGACTCCGATGACGCGTATGAGGGACCCGCGAGAATGTCGTTCGCTTCGGCAACGCTCGAAAATTGAATTTTCCTTCTTCTAATCGATGCCCGCAAAAGTACGAGGATGAGTCAAAAAGTAAGAGGACATCTGCAATCGTAACGTATTACTAGCAACGTATTTTGCACACGGTACTCCTTGTTAGAATATCAGCGCCGTGAAAACGTTGGTCTTTGGCTTTGCTGCCGTCTCGTGTGCCTCCTACGGTTACGAAAAATGGTGACTTTGGGTCTCGATTGCACTAAGGAAGAGTCGCATTTTGTGATCCGTTTTTTGGTCGAAGATGGCGTGAATGGCAATGCAATTTTTCACCGACTCGGGACAGTTTACGAATAGAACGGTATCGAAAGAAGCAATGTTTATGAGTCGGTGCGAAAGTTCCAAGTGGAACGGCGAGCGTTACGCGGCGCGTTCGAGTCCGTAACACTCGTCGAACGATGCGGCACGTATTGGAGGTGTCGATATCGAATGCATCGGAGGTGTCGAAATCGAGTGCATCGGAGATCACGACCCGAAAGGACCCGCGCCCATAGAACCGAAGAGCGCAGCAGATCTGCAGCAGTGGCGGTATCGCGGAGTTCCTCTTCGTTCTGCGCTCTACAGGGTGTTTAGAAAGTCACTCCCTATCTTGAAATCGTGATAACGTTTGTCATTTTTCGTCCGGAAGTACGATCCTCCGTCACGGTCTCGAGGTGGCGACGAAAGGAGAACGTCTTGGATGCAACTTCCCATTTTCTCCGCCTCCAACCCTCATACTGCGCAGCTACTTTCGCACGGTGTCGAAGATTCAGGGTGACATGCACCAGATTCCTTTAACTTTAAACTGATTCGCTTTCCTAATCTGCATCTATGGGAATAAGTTCATCTCTGTTAAACCGATTCCCATAAGGGATCATCGTGAGATCGGGTTAGTTTAGGTTGAACGGATCCGATAAATGTCACTCTCGATGTTGTCACCATGGAGGTTTACCGCAAACGAATAAATCAATAATAAAGTCCTACTGAATTCTCTTTCTTTCCTCGCAAAAACCATCGTTCGAGTCCAAAAATGGCAGACGTCATTACCTCCTACGATTTAAAAAAGGGAATGATTTTCCAAAAACCCTGTCGATCGGGTACATAAATTGTCCACCAAAAGGAGGATGGATCCCCTGAGGTGTGAACCGGTACCTCCGCAAGACCTATTCGGGAGAGTACTGCTCCAAGTCCATCGTGGAGCACGCGCTCCTAGGCGTCAAGTGCTTCGGCTGAGTTCGGGCGACCATCTACTGAATTCACTGCTTATTCACTCTGCTTTCTTCACAGCCACGGAAACATTCAGGACAAATAAAATAAATAAATAAAAGCATCGTCTGTAGACATAGTGAAGCAGTAAGGAAGTGCGTCGAGCCAGCGGGATGTTCATCTCCGGTGCTAATGGAGGTGTATAGTAGGGTCATCGTAACATTAAGCCGATACGGAATTTAATGCTGCGTTAGGCTAATTTTAAATCTCCGCTAAAGTAGCTTTAACTCCATCCCTAATGGAGGTTTAGACGGCTCACTTTTTCCCACTGAGCTCAGTGCTTTTTCCCAGTCGTCGAGACAGGACATTTCCTCTCTCCCTCTTCGCTGTTCTCGCGCAGCCTTCCTTTGCGCTCTGCTTGCCTCCCATCTCCCCTATCCAATTCCTCTTTCTTTAGCCTGCACGTCGAAAATTTTTCGATGAGTTGCCTATTCTTTCTCGTACATTGGTATTCCCTCGTATTCGCTCTTAGCTTCTCGCTATTTCCTCTCACTGGCTACTTTTTCCATTCGTTAGGTAGGAAAATCTACGTGTATCAGGGTAATTAGATTGAGTCATGGATAAAGGAAATGGAAAAAATTGCGTGATTTTTGGTTATGAGGCTTCCTATCGTATCAGCAGAATAGAGAAGTTGGCATTTCATGCCTTCCCAAATTCTCTCGAAAGAGGAGAACGGATGAAAGCTTTAGGCCTCCGCTCGATATCTAAGCACACTTATGCGCGCACCACTTCTTGAAGGATTGCTATCATGCAGGATATCCTGACAAGAAAAAAAATCCTGAAAAATGATACAGTCCCTTCGCTTTCCTTGGTCTTCCATGCTTCACCTGGCGTCACTCTCGAAATGGAAGATGATGCAGGAGCATGTATTGCATCTATGCATGGCTCTCGCTGCCAGGCCAGCTCCACTCTCGCCGAGGCAGAGATGGATACGGGAGAATCAAATAGTGTTAAAACAAAGAAATATGAAATAAAGAGTGATGAACCACTGACTCAGCAGGCAAACAGGGAATCAGACAAACATTATTCCCATGGCTACTCAAAAGCTCAGCTGTTGCAAAAGCTGAAAATTGCCCAAGAAAAGTTGTGCCAACTGAGGAAGAAGAACATTCTACTCATGCAAATGATAATTTAAAAAATCAAATGAGGTGCAGGCAAATGTAGTTTTGGTCCGAAAACTGATTACGGAAGAACGGAAAAGAAACCTTGGCAATCCTAGCTGAGATTTTTCATTTGAATTGGGATTCTGATTTTCCAAGGAAGACTTGCAAGGCAAGGCGACATTCGTTCCTAGTGAGGCGTTCATTGTCACTCTGGAATTCCTCTAACTCTCCCCACCATCCTCTTAGCTCAACTAATAGCCGAGTACCGAGTAACCTCTCAATTTTTCCCTAGTGATTATACGAGGTCGGCCTTCACCACTTGAGTTCTTTAAATCTCTCGTGTCTCGGGACGGAAGTACCTATTGCTTTGGGGTCTCCTTTTCCTCATGACGGAGCTTGCACTCGGAAAAAAAAAGTCTGATTTGCTTAGTTTCGAACCCGGGTCCCCTGTCAGGAGGTGGGAGCCAAGAAAGCTACGAACCGAGCCATTCCCCAGCCCCCACTCCCCTCTATGACGTCACAAGGATGCGCTTTCCTTAACTCGTCACCCGCGCACGTTAATGAGGCGCCTATTTGCCGGTGCGTGAATCCACCCCATATCTTTGATACAACAAAATACTTGGTGTAGATATAAACGTCCCAACGAACGATCTAGGGATACCAGTACGCTTATGCTGCCTTGTCCAGAATTCGCTACTTAATTTTTTCTTTCCCCTAGAAGAAAAATACTTATTTAAAAAAACCTCCCAATATTCATCCCCTGAATGCCATTTTAAATATTCCATAAAATTATTCTGGTGTTTGAGAGATGATAGAGATCTTCTGTTTCTGAGGACGGAAACGTATTACTAGAAGTACAAGTTGTACGAAATATTTGAAAAAAAAGCGAATTCCAGAGACCGCAGTGAAGTAACGTGCAATCTGAGGGAGTCTTCGACTTTGCGATACACAGCAATGGTGCAACATGACAAATGCGCAAATCCCCCCCCCCCATCCCCGAATTTATTGCACTTTTCATCTGTTTTTAATGACTCCAGTTCATTCGGCCTGCATGAGGAATTTTAAGGTATGACATAGCTTAGAGCTTAGGCAACAAAGAGAAAATTAATTTGTTGACAACAAGGTTGAGGACGCGTCGGGCGCCGCGGTCTAATAAGGGACCGTCTTGAAATTTGTGATGCTCATCCCTCCATCTCCGAGAGAGTAAATTCCCGTTTTGGAGCGAAATAGGTTCGTGCTATCTCGTTAGTCGGGGTAGCAAGTGCCTCAAGTGTGGTTGGATCCGGCTTCGGCAAGGATAGAGTAAGTCATTCGTCGTTCTTGTGTCAACAATGACTGATTCAAACGAATCACGCAATGTCTGACGGTCACATGACCGACTAGTCGTTCCCGATTGGTGGATCTTTGCATCGCAATCGCGTTCCCGGGAGAACGGCTGACAGAGATCCTCTACGTCTTAATTGCCTTCCTCACGCGTTTCAAAACTGCCAGTGACGTGAGCAATGCCGTCACTTGTCCTACAATTCTTGCCATCCACTGAATAACTGGTTCCCATAACTCCCTATTGTCTAACCAACTCATTGCACCTTCTTAGCATTCACAAGTTCATGAATTCATGCTGAAAAATGGCATGGAGAAAAAAAAATGGGAAACGCATCATAAAAAATTAAGTTCATACAGGATTGTCAGGCGGCAACTTTTTCTCATTGGGGAAGGGTGAAATGACCCAGATAGTACATAGAAACCAGTTGAGAGCAATGAAGAGCCAGGTATTTTTTATGGAAAATTATAATATCAGCAATCCTGGACCAACTAAAAAATGCAAAAAGGTAAAAAAAAAAGACACACAATGGAAGAGGCGAAGCCCTGCAAAAAGAAAGAGAATGAAATAGAGGCCTAATCACTGGTCTTGGTTACTGTTTTCATCTGCAGACTAAGCCTTTGAAAGTCCTTATTTCTTCTTTCTCTTCTTATCTGCATCAGCAGCCGGTTTCTGCTCCTTGGTGGCAGTGCAGCCAAATTGGTATTTCTCCTCGAGCCTCTCTCGAATCAGCAGTCCCTTGATGAGGCGCTTCCAGTTCCCATAGATGCGCTTCTCTCGTTTCTCCTCCTCGCGCCGCTCTGCTTCCTCTTGCTCCTACATGACAACAAAAGCTAATTCATGGACATCATGGCACGGCCTTAGAACAATGGAGAACCATCATTTTCTTCCCAGTTCGGTTGGTTTTTGCTTCTGGGCATTGTTCCATTTCATTCTACTGATTGATGAGAGGTATGGTTAAATAATTTTAAAATGTTACAAAGCATGCTTCTTGTTTCAACTGGAAGTAAAAATCCAGTCCTCCTGGACATTCTCAAAGTCTTCCCAAGTTAATAAAGAATTTTAAATGGATTTAATGTTAAAAAAAGAATATTTAAACAGAGAGACAGAGCATCTTTATGCGTTCCCCCATAGAGCCTCATTCAGGCACCCCACTGACCAAAGTGCCACAAGGGATTAATCTTCGAAGAAGAGGAATGCAAAGAAGAGGGTGAAATGTAGATGGAGATAGACCTGATTCCAGGCATCGACGAGGACATCTTTGAACTCTTGGCAGACAATAAATCCATCATACATGGGATGACAACCTCCACCATGATAATCCCACCCAATCATGGCAGGGGCACAATCAATCCCCAGCTTCTTTGCCACACTATTCAGTCCTGGCACTGGAGAAGAAAAAATCAAGAAATATTAAAAAATGGAAAGGAGAGTGCCAAGAACAAGAAACCATGCAGATATCCACTCTTTATCTATATAAGGGCCAGTCAAGAGAGAATTTAAAGGGCTCTCACTCTTGAGCTGGACAGTTCCAATAGGAAGCATGGATGGTTTGAAAAGCTCCACATTTCCATAGGGATTACGGGGGACCTTCCCATTCTCGGCTACAGGAGGCTCATAATCCTCTGTTTGCCACATCCCAAACACTTCCAATGGTTGGTCCTTCAGAACTTCACCAGACAGCTTGAGGGAGATATGAAAGATGAAATATCTCAATTGTTTCAGAATCCATATCCATTGGATAGGGTTTATTGATATTTTAGGGACTGGAATGAAGGGCAGATACCCGGTCATATTTAGGCCTGGCTTTGACTACTTTATATGGGGTTTCCCCACGCTTTACCACTCTGGCTTCCTTCAACCATGTCTCACGAGAGCGGAGTGTGTGAATGCATTCCCTGGCATAAACTGGCTCTCGGCGAAAGAAGCCCAGAGGTGGAGCATCTTCTGGATAGATTGCCTCAAACTTCAACAAATGCCTCTTCAGGGCATACAATGGGTGATTCTTGTACCTACAAGCAAATGCCCCTCTATTGAACTGATTTAACGAATAGATGACATTCAATTCAGATGACAATCACAACAGACTCAGCTAGAGTGGTTGGAAGGGGGGTTTCCATGAGTTTGGTGTCAAGTTCATCATCTTCCTTCTTACTGCGAGGGGTCCTCTTTTCCAAGAATGGTTGAAGAGATGCTTTGAGCCAGTGCTCATCCACACGAGCCTTACGAGTTTGGGAGAGAAAGCGAGAGGAGTAGCGTGGAGTGAGGTCTTTCATCCCACCATCATTCTTGATCCCTATCACATACCACATCGGTCGAGTGGCTCGGCCCTGAAACACAATACAATTATCGTGAAATCATGGTATATCTTTTTCTTTCCTCCTTACATTTTCCTTTACTGCCAGTTAGTAGCAGAAACATAGTTATGACTTGGTGGAAGCTATCAGCATACTTTAAAATATGCTGATGAGATTAAAAGAAAGAGGAAAATGAGCATCTCACTTCCAGTTCTTGAATGCAATGTATGTTGCCATGGACAACATCGACAGAGATCCAGGCCTCCTCTGCCTCAAGATACACCTCAACCCAGAGATCTTGCCCCTTGCCTTTCCTCTTCCCTTTCTCTGTCTTATTCTTCTTCAGCTTGGGAGTCTCCTCATCAGAGCTGAGGACCTTGCGCTTCTTAGGGTCAACACGGGGTGTTGTGACCTTTTTGATTTTCAGGATTTCAGGCTCAAAATCATCATCATCATCATCACCACTTTTAATTCTGCTTTTCTTGCCTTGTACTGGAGCCAGAGAACCATCAGACTTCCACTTCCCTCCTCTTTTTGGTTTGTCACTTGCTGACTCATCATAGTTCTTCTGCTCCTTCACGCGAAGTGACTTCCTTTTTTGATCTGCTGAAACTTCTTTCAATGTTGTTCTACCCTCTTGCTTCTTTCTGGATCCTTTTGTAGACTTGTGGAGGTTTTCCATACTTGTAACTCTTTTTTCAGGACTTGTGGAGATTTTGCTAATTGAATTTCCTGGAGAAACACTCTTTATTTCAACAAAATCCTTCTCTGTCTTCAATGCTGCAGACTTCCTTGATGTTTTCTTGGAGCTTGACAGTTGAGGCTGCACTTGGGCACTTTTCTTTGATAATCTGGGTGACTCAAAGGTATCTTTGGATGCAGATGGCTGAGTTGGATCTTTGCTTTTTATATTAGCCCTCACCCTATCCATTTTGGCATATGTGGGATTAGGTTTATCCTCCTTCTTTTTGGACTTCTCCTGAGACCTATTCTCTGCACTGAGTAAAGGAGTACCTGAGCTCTCACTTGGGGGTTTCAAGGGCAAAGGGGTCAAGGACATGATCAACCTGCAGTCTAGCCCGACCGACCGAACTACAGCTACAAAAACCAGGACTAGATCATTGGGATTCCTAATGTTATGTTCTTGGAATACCCTCACAAGTCTTGGAAGGTCCTTGCCAGAGTTTAAGCACTTTTCATCTGATTCAAGGATGGGAAATTTCTCCCTGAACCACTTGAGAAGCATCTCCAGGTACTTGAGGTCTGCATGTTTCTTTGGGTAAGATGTGGAAGGAATGACAGATATAGCCAGGCCAAGAAGATCTGTATCATTCACCAGTGAATTTAGATGCTGCATGTGAGCAATAAGACAGAGGATATGAACCTTGTGCACAAGAAGCTGGATCTCTCGCTTCACTCTTGCAATCTTCCGCTTGATGTATGCTTCCATGTCAAAGCCTTTCCTTTTCCTCTGTCTACCTTCAATGGGGATTGTGACTTCGATGCTGGATGATGCTTCTACCTCCTCCTTCATGGGGATCCCGGCCACTTCTTCCAAATCTGACTCTCCAGATTCATCTGAATTCATGGTAGATTCAGATTTGAGTCCTAGGCCTTCTCCCAATGCCAGAATTTGAGAGACATCCAATCTCTCCAAGCCCCCAGACTCTTCCTGTTCTTCAGAGTCTTGTTCCTGTGTTGACTCCACTTTGGAGTCACTGATGGTAGGTCGTACATTAGGTGAATTTGAAGTGCTGTCATTGTCATTCTCGTCATCAGAGTCAGATAATTTTCCATCTATGCTCTCTCCAGCCCAGTCACAAGTCACAGCTTCCATTTTTGGTTTACAGTGAAAGTCAAACTTATGGATGAATTCTTCCTGGTCACTCTCATCACTTGAGGAAACCTTGGAGATGTCTTGCAAGATCTTGGACTCAATGGCTGCAAACTCTCTGTCATCATTTTCTCCCTCTTTCCGTTCAGAACGGCTGGTCTTGGCCCTTTTCTTCCTTGTTTTCACCATGCTTTACTCTACCAGATGGGATAGGGCAAAGAATACACAAACATAAATGTAATATTTCCACCAACTGCAGTAAATATGGTAGGAGTTGTAATGTCCATGAAGAAACAGCAATGCAGCATGGCTCTGTCTTCTGACAAGCCTCTTTCATGGCAAATCAGGTTCATAGCTGCATAGTATATAAATGGACCACATTAATCTCAATGCTACAATGAACTCACATGACAAATGTTTGATAGGGATATTGCACTGATATATACAGGGTGATTTTTTTATTTGTAAACCCAAATGGTTGATTCAGTTTCCTTTGTACAAAGCATGGAGTTTCACTTGCATATACCAGTGATTTTTAAATCTGAGGTAGTAGTCCAGTCATTGTGAAGTCTTTTGTGTTCTTTTGTTTCTTGATTAAGTTTCATAACAGGTAGCAGCATTGCAGGGGTTTCAAGATGGTGTTCAGCTTAGAAGAACGTGTGTTTGTGGTTGAAAATTATTTTAAAAGTGGTTCATTTAAAGTTTGTTGGAAGGAGTTGGTGAATAAATTTTGGTTATTCCACAGAGCAAGTTAATGACTGCAATAATAAAGCTAACATTAGAATCAAATTTCATTGTGTCATCATGAAAATTAATGTTTGTAATGTGAATTTTGTTTGAGTTTACAAATAAAAAATTCACCCCGTACAAAGTAGCACCAAAATTTTTGTAGTAGTAAATAAATGCCATCTTCCTGCATAAAAGCTTAATGAAATATATGAGAATGCAGTGAGTATCATCTTCTGGTTTCTTTCAAAATGGAGAATACCTTTAAAGATGGTAGGCTCTGCAGTACCTGCTTCAATTATGAAGTATATCATACAGCATTTTCCCTCAAAATTACCCTTTAAACTCATATCTAGTTGGCCAAGTACAGAAAGAACACAAAGTTAGAATGGACGGAAAGGAGCATGTTCTTCACAATGGCCAATGAAATAATCAGAAGAGATATTTCTAAAACTGTTGCACATGAATATATCAATTCCTACATTTCATCAAAATGTAACAGGATGCTACAACGAATATACTATTCAGTAATTTATATTAAAATGTTTTTATATTTCACAGTTAGCATGTATGAAGTACAGAGTTAAGGAGGTTTCATCAGGAACACATCACCATTGAACCTGTAATATATAATACAGCAAGTACATGCTAACAAGATTGCATATGATATTCCAAAGGATAGATAGATTTGACTAGAGAATCACAAAAGTTAGCTGTAGAGTTCCATGTCTATACGCCGAGAATGCCCCAATCCACTCAACAATACTTGGGGACACTCTAGGGTCACTCGTAATGAGTCCAGAAATTCTGCAGCCATGTCATCTGCTATGGCCACATTGTCATAGGACATTGTGACTGACATAAGGGTCTTCACTTTCATGTCTGCACCTGGAATAGGAAATACCTTTATGTCATGTCATACATGGTGTGATGCAGACAAGAGAGACTGTACACTCACCAATACACCGTCGTCCAGTTCCCACTGCAAGGATTCCACACTGTGGAGGATTGATGATTGCTGTGAATTCAGTGATGCCAAACATTCCTAGATTTGAGATCCTACAGCAGAAAAATTTCAGACCAATATATCAATTCTTAGAATGTCAAAAGAGGCAGATAATTCAAGTCTAGGGCTCACGTGAAGGATCCTCCAATGAATTCCTGTGGTTGAAGGCGACGCTGCTTAGCTTTGTCAGCCAGGATTTTCATCTCCCGAGAGATATCTTCCATGCTCCTTTGGTTGGCATTGAAGATAATGGGAGTGATGAGTCCCTCCTCTGTTGCCACAGCAACAGACACATCCACAGTACGAGAGGTCACCAACTATGGAAATATGTAAACATTCTATGGATACCACAGAAATAAGTGTTTCAAGAAAAGACAAACGCAACTTGAGACTGAGATAGTAATAACCATTAGTAGACTCTTACTTGTTCTCCCTGCCAGATGACATTGACCTGAGGGAATCTGTTGAGGGTTTCAGCAACAGCCTTAATAAGAAAGTCATTAACTGAGACATTAATTCCAGATTCCTTTAGCTTCTTTCTTGTATTCAGGATAGCATCAATATCACATTCGACTGTCTCATATGCATGTGCAATGGTTGTCTGAAAAGGAGGAGAGACAAATGACATTACACTCAGTTTCTATTTCAATACACCCAATTGAATCTCCAGTTGGCAGACTTTAGATTGAGAGAGTCGCTTGGCAATGGTTTTGCGCATGTTGCTCAGATCAATATCCTCAAACAAGGCCTTGGTTGGTGACTTTGCAGAGTCTCCTCTCAGATCTGGTAGGGGTTGCTTTAAAGAAACCTCTTCTATTCTTGCTCTTTCTTGCATTCTTCCATCATCCTTAGGCAGTGTGACTGAAAAAAAAACACACACACACACCTCAAAACATACTAGTCCCAATGGTGCTCAGGTGAAATGAAAGAATGTTGCCTACTAATGAACAACACAGACCTTTTGGTATGAGGCCCTTCTTCTTTATGTATGCAAGAACATCTCCCTTGAGAGGCAAGCCATGAGGCCCACTTGCAGGGACTTCAGATGCCTTCAACCCATACTGTTCCAGGAGTCCTCTAACTGATGGACCCATCATTCTGAAACAATATCTTCCACAAAGTCAATTCTGCCAATTATGACTGCATGTAAACATTCTAATTATAAGCATTCAGTCATGAAAACTAGAGTTGAGTCTTCCTTGACCACAAATATTAATCAACCTTTCCTTTGCCTTGTACACAATCCATATGAGTAGGTCACACTCACACTTTGCACTTCATCATTCCAATTGTACTCATACCATTCAAATTTATTACTCTAATGCAACAATCAGATTCCCACTGATGGCTTTGTCCTATACTATCCCTTGGATGCAGTGCAATTCGACTTTTATACAGCTATTAAATTAATAAATTCTATTAATAAATAGGATTTGATTCTCTATGGCTAACTATCTGATGACAGTGGAAAGTACTCTTCACAACTGTCACCAGATGAAGACAAGACATGCAGTTCTTGGAGGATCATGAATGAAAACAGCATTAATAAAGTTCACAAGTGAAATACCCAGTATAAATGACCAAATATCAGAATGCTGGAGATGATCTTATGATAATCCATATCTCACCTCCAATATTCTCATGAAATGACCATAAAGTATCTTTGACGGTGTTAATGTTAGCAGTACAAAGAAAACCTGACTGTAGTTTGCCATCATTCTCTACTTTTGACACAAGATCCAATTCCTGTTTCTCCTATTTATCTATGCCTGGAGTTACAGATAAATTTCACTTTTCTAGATAAGCCACTCATATGAGCTAACAAAAAAGGTATCTCCCACTTACTTGGGTTCTGGTTTTGCTCCAGGAGCCAAATTGGCATCACTTTTCAGAGCAACTCCTTCATGTTTCTCCATCTCTTCTTTCTTTTCTGATTTAATGCTGACACCTGCTCCAACAGGAATCTCCACTTTCTTCCAATCTTCTCCTTCTCCCACCATCAAGGCAATCAAAGTTCCTACTTTCACATCCTTCGTATCTTCTTTCACCTGCGTGTCAAGATCCATGCAATTGCCATTACTTAACATCAATCACCTAAATGAAGCAGACTTAACCTGAAATTAAATTAACCAAACCAACTTGAGACTATGCCTTTCAAGATGACAGTTTACAAAACATCGATGCATCGACCTGCACTATCGATAGTGTATCGATGCGGGTGTCGGAGGATTTAATATTTTCTCGCCGCGATCGGGGGGAGGTTTGACTTACGTCGTTTCTTGCCTCGATCGGGCCTCTGTCTTCCATAATCTCACGCTTGTGATTGGGGGGAAGGTGTGACCTTCGCAACGAGTAGTGAAGCCTCCAATTATCGAAGATGACACATTCATCGATGGATGCATCAGGACAGCCCTAATTTTTTCTTATTGCCTTTGAGAATCAGTTGCCAAGCCCGTTCACGTAGTTTTTTTTTTCTTTTTCTTTGTTCTACACGGTCTTCATTGGACATCAGCACCGGCAGATAACCTGCCAATGGTGCCATACCAGCGGTTGCCGAAACATCGATACAGCTCTAGATTCAAGCGAGGTCCATTTTAAAATTTCCTTGGATTCACCTTAAGTAAAGAGGTAAAATGCCAAAGGGCAAGTTAAAAAAAAAATAAGCATGCATACTAAAGAGAAAGACAGGAATACAGAGGGGATTAACCAATGTACGCTTTGTAATCAAGGGAGTAAAAGAACAGTCCACTTTCACACTATGCACCTGACGCACCGTGCCGAAGACTGAAACAGAAGAGAAATATTCGCGGTCTTCCCTCTCTCTCCTTTCCCACTTCCTGTCTCCGATTCCTTTTTTTTCTTTCCTTCCCGTCTTTCACATGGTCAGTCCCAGAACCTGATCGTTATAAGAAATTGCCCGCTCATGCCAGTTACGCCGCCTCTTCCTTTCCCCGCCCGGACGGACTGTATTGTACTATACTCATCTCAATCCAATGGGACATTTCCCCTTCAACAATTTTGCCGATACATCGCGATGGTCGAAAAAAAAAACTATTGATACCTCCAACCATCGATAGTGGTACCAATGCATCGACCTAACGTGACAGCCCTACTTGAGACTGCTGTATGACCACACTCTTCAACATATCATCAAAAATAATGGTCTGGAGTCGAAATAGTCAATGTCAGATGGATATGCAAAACTACAACTGAGAAGTCCAGGTTTATGCATATCATGCCCAGGGTAAGGCTGAGTAAAATTAGTCTAAGTTGTTGCTTCAGGCTTTTCCTACTGTCAATTTTATTAGTCGAGATGATATGAGTTTCGAGTTTCCTTGCATGCTCCATGTAATGGATTTCCTTAATTTAACTTTTTTTTTAACATACAAACTATCCTTCACTGCAATTAGAGTATAATCTTTCTCATAGCTTGCTCCATAATAAGCACTTAGTCCAGACCATCTGCAATTAATGTAGAGGGAAAACTTCGAGATGAAAATGTACAGGGTGGGCCAAAAAAAAAAACTTAGGTTATTTTTATCACTCTAGCACTGGTCCCCAAAAGTTTGCTAAAATTGCAATAGCGCCTACGTATAGTACATTCATTCAGCTTTCCAATGATGTCAAAAGAACAAAGATTCACGGTATGACTTTCATGCAGTTAGATCAAGAGTATAAGAGGTGGCGCTGGAAAAGTTGGTGATCTGCCGCGATGGCAGCTAGTGCATGCAAAAGGTCGCCTACTCCCCATAAGCGAAGGAATGGACGTTACCTGGAGCACATCTTGCAACCTGGTAAGTACACTTTTCAAGCGCTACCTCTGTTACACTGCGCAACCGCATCCGAATGACGGATTGGATCTTAAACCTTTTTACATCAGTGGAAAGCTAGATAAATGTTCTATATAGAGACGTTATTGCAATATTTTCAAACTCTCGAGAAACTACACTGTAAAGATAACCGAGGTTATTTTTTTGCCCACCCTGTATACCTACGTGTAAAATTTGACCATAAAGCTCCACAGCAAAAAAAAAAAGAATGATTCAGATTTGCCTTGCCTAAGCTATAGACTGCAATGTCTTACCTTAGTTGATAGAGGAGGAAAACAACATAAAGGAGGAAGGCCAGTTCCTGGAGAAATACTCCATGGGTGAATATAAGTTCTCCAATACTTATTTAGTGCACATGGGACACAGATTTGCAGAATTCCAATTCCTAATCTAGCATCAAATAAAAATGCATTTAAAAGTATTCCACACGTTAAGAAATTGGAGAGGGGGGGGGTTAGCAGCATGAAAAGGCAAAGAAAAGAAATGCCATAAAATGCAAATATTTTTACTCAAGGGGAGACTATGAGCAAAAAATCGCGAAAAAACGCAAAATTTTCCAATATTTTTTTTTGCCGCAAGACATTCTCACAACATTCAGCTTTCAGAAAAACCTTGTTTCAGTATGTTGCGATCACGATTTCTCACATTTTTGGCCCTTATTCTAATGATAGCAAATATTTTCGTAAAAAGGAACAGCCATTTTGGAACGTGAACATTTTGCCAAATAATGCATTCTTTTAGCAGAAAGAATAAGGCCATGAAGCTTCAGAGAGTCAAAGAAAAAGCTGCACAAGAGGAGTAGGAAGGCGTGCAATACAGAGTTGCGGGGTTTAAATTTAGACTCATTTGTATTGTAAAACCATGGAAAACTTTGAATTCGATTTTCTCAACTAGTAAAAAAAAAGTGCATGCACAATGACTATTTCCCGAATTACTCCAACAAAATATTGGTGCCAGAAACGTGAAATTTCACATGATGATTTAGAAATGACAACCTTGAAGTGTTGGGACCGGTTTTGATGATTTTCATTTTTTATGACAGCAGTATGGAGCTAAGCGGCAACTGCCATCAGATTTTCGAATAACATGACAGAAATTGTACATTTTTGCATGGAAATATCGGAAATTTCACTTTTTTTCTCCCAACAATCTGAGGATGTATGTTTACCATGGAGTCCTATGAATTTGAAGAAGTTTGGTTGATTCGTTCAGCTGTGGCTTGGAAAATGCCAGATGTACTAACGTTTTAGGTTTTTCGAGAATATCTCAGGAACCACTGGAGCTTCATGTAAAAAGTTATGTCGTAAAAAGATCCTTGGAATACAAGCTTTTCAATTATAACAACGATTTTTACTTTTTGCAAAGCATTTCAATTTTTATTTTTTTGCTCATAGTCTCCCCTTAAAGAACTAGTCAGGAAAGTAGAGCAAATGATTATTGCTGACCAACTTAGACTTACAAATTTAGCACAAATTGCTCCAATCATGAAGAAATTAGATTTTAAGAAACAGATAGGCCTATATATCTTAGACAACTATAAAAAAGGAATGCCCCAATGTTCCATCCAAATATACTGCCCACCAAAAGTCTTTTCATATGCTTTACTTTGGCACCCTCCTAAACAGGGGTGCACAACATACAGCCTGTGAAGCCCTTGCCCGAGGCCCGTCATGACCGGTGGTATTGTAAGTTCTATGACTCCTGGCCACAGCTATGGTCAGCCAGACTGCAGCCCATGGTAGGTAAGTAAAAATCGTAAATGGCCCTCACAGCCTTTTGAGTTGTGCACCCCTGTTCCAAAATGACAGGAGGCAGCAGAGTCTCAAAGATGAAATTGGTTTTGATAAAGTCCTTTTTTTCATGTTCATCAGTCAGATCATTCAATGAGTTTGAGGTTCCCCTTCTTCACAGAGGACAAATTCTTCTACAGCTTCAATATTTTCTGCAGTCGAGTTATACGTGGCCTGTCATCTCCACATTTTCTGTCTGCTGATTCACTCTCAGCAAATTTTTTTCAAAAAAACCTTTCAAGGCCATGATGTGACCAGTTTTTTTTCCTTTTTCCCCAGGGAATTCCTTCATGAATTGATGAAAGCTGCACCACTTCATCTATCACAAACCTTCAATAACAGATGCTTGTCCTTTTACTGAGTTCCATGATGTTCTCCAGAATTTTGAATACTGTGATTCATGAAAGAACTAAAATTGCAAGAATGGTGAGTCTTGGGTGCATAGAGAATGATGAAAAGCAAATATTAAAAATCCAACATAAACACAAAGTTACTGAAAACACAAGGTAAGATGCATCGAAATCCAGTTTCTTCACTGAGACTGCCTGCACTCATGTTGGAGCATGATGAAGTGATGCACTTGACAAGAAGTAGTGAATAGATTTGTTGTTCACTGCAATTTTTGACATTTCAACTTTGAAAAATTATTGCATTTTTGAATCTTTGTTTGAGAAATGTTTTCAAACAAGGAATAAATAGTTTATTTATTCACCTGAAATTTCATGTGCAGAAAAACATGAGGCTCACATGAAATAGGATGAGGGTATTTCACAAAATAAAGCACCCCTCCCCTCCTTTTTTTTTTTTTGAGACATGATGTACACTCCTAGCCCTTACCTTGAGATAATAGAAAGATCCAAAAATTTTTTATAGAGCACTTTGTAGAGTAAGGAAAGGACTACAAAAATGCAAAAAATTAAATAGTTATTTTCAAAGGGTTATAAAGGGTTTACAAAAAAAAAAGGACGACCTGAGGGGTAACATTGAGCAAAATTACATAAAAGTCCATGAACCAAAACAGTCTCTAAGGCTCCTATAAGGTGTGCACAAAGGAAGTGCATGATTAAACTAATAGAAAGTTTTCTTGACAATGGATTGAGAGCAAAGATGGTTGTTGCATGGTGGCTTTGAACTTTGAACTCTGGGGTCATATGCTCTGGTCATTGTGCCAGTCTATGAGCTAAGATTTTCTAGTCTCCCTGTATAAGGAACATTTCATATTTTGTTTAAATTTTAGTCAAGCAATAGGCAAAATCTTCATTCAAACATTAGAGAAGTGTTAGATAGGGGTGTGTGTGAGAAAGTGAGGGGAGGGAAAGAGAAAGAGGATATTTCAGGATTTCAATATTCATATGCTTCCCTACCAGGATCTTGGCAAGAATCCCTTCTTCTTCAACTTCAAATGCCACCACTGCTTTGTCAGTCTGGATCTCACAAAGGACATCACCTGGCTGGACAGGATCTCCTTCCTTTTTCAGCCATTTCACAATTGTTCCTTCATTCATTGTGGGTGAGAGGGATGGCATCTTGAGGGGAGAGCCTACCACTATTAAAGAAAATACAAGCATTCACAATGTAATATTGGTCTCTTATTCATTATCTGTCATAATATCAGTTGTTCCAAGTTGCAGGATAAGCGTGACCAAGAGAGAGCTGACGGATCCTTGGCGTATCAATAAACCAATCAATGCTGCCAAACCAAATGAGAGACATTTCCTGCTGGTCATACAGGGCCAGGCCCAGGTCATTTCACAGTAATGAATTGTGAAGACTTTGTCCTATGTGGCCCAACTGCATATAATATGAAATAAAATAGTCATGCATATACTTTTGTCAAGTGCTGCGAATTGGGGCTGAGTTTCCAGACTCTGAAATGCATTTCTGTGTCAAGACTGTGGGTTCTCTTTAAGTATCTTTAAGTAATGAGGATGAGAAACTGTCTTAAACTGCCACTTCTTCATGTTTCATAGGTCAGTCAACATCACAGAAAGCAGGAAGCAACCTGAATTTTACAAGTCCCAATGGCTCATTCATCTGCAGCATCAATCCCTACACTGCTGTTGCAATAATTTTATGTCTAAGGCATCTTTGATTGGTATGACAACATGATAATGATAAAGGGGAAATCCATTTTTAGATCTGGAAATCTTTGAGGTTGAAGTATGAGATTTTTTAAATTGTCATGCTAATGTTTCATATTTCACGCAGGTGAATATTTACAATTAAAAAATAAGTTACAAAATTATGCAATAGTAAAGGACCCAAGTGCTTACCACCTGACGTATCTTCAGGCCAAGCAAATTACTTAGTTTGCCGAAGGTCAACTGTCCGTCAGTGCAAAAGCCAACTGCCCTCAAAAGAGGTTCATGTTAGGCTACACTTACAGGATTTCGCAACGATGTTTCATTTCTCTTCGGAAGGGCAGCTGTAATGTCAATAGACTAGAATTTGGTGAAGACTAACAATAGCCTATATCAAGCGATGCCTCACCGTTCAAGAAGGAGGACGTACGGAGCTGCCTTTGAACATTTTGTAACACAGTACATGGCGCGAGAAAGTGGGCATTCCTCAAAACTCCCCGTAAGCCTAACAGCACTGGAAGATGATGATAGTGCTTGATGGGAGTGCAGTTGAGATGGGATCTCACGAGTTTAAAGAGCGCGGCCATGTTCACCCCAGGCCATCTCCTTGAAGCCTCATTGGTGGGTTTGCCTATTCTTGCCCCGGTAAAAGGAATGGACCGAAAGCTCACATCATGCCACTCAGTAACAGAAGTCAATGAATAGAGAGCAAGGAAAGCTGCAGTAAAGAAAGCTGTAGTTGGCCTCCACTTCAGTAAAAAGTAACATCCCTCCGAAGATGTTGGTATGGTTATACCCTTTGTCTTTTCAGTCCACAGAGATGAAATCGCACCTCCCTGCTTTTCGAACGTCTGTCAATCCATCTACCATGTTTTGTTCCAGTGACACGTATCGCTGTATGCGCGGTCAAATGGGGTAGTATGTTGCTGGGAGATAAAATTCGTAATGTAGGGGGCAACATTGCCTTCCTGGGTTTTGCCGCTGAGCCCGTTGCAACTCTGCCTCCCTTTAATTTTGAATACGCTCTCGTTTCCACGGGATCCAGGGTAGGACGAGTGAGTAGATCAGTAGTTGGTTGGCAGGACGAGAGCAACGGGTGATGATAAATGGGGAAGCGTCGAAGGAGGTCGGAGTCGCAAGCGGTGTCCCTCAAGGCTCGGTCCTTGGACCGCTTCTGTTTTTGGTCTACATAAACGATTTGGATCTCGGCGTAGAGGGTAAGATAAGTAAATTTGCCGACGACACCAAGATAGGTTTTACCATAAGGGGGGAGGCGGATAGGGCTAGAGCCGAGCGAGATTTAAGGCTTTTGGACGAGTGGAGCAAGAAATGGCTCATGAGGTTTAATAAAAGTAAGTGTAAAGTTCTCCACGTCGGTCGAAACAACGGTAGGTCTCTCGACACGTTCGGCGATGTTAAATTGGATGAGGCAAACGGAGAGAGAGATTTAGGTGTTTCTATCGACGAGGACCTCAAATTTTCCTCGCACGCGCAAGCGACGGTGGCCAAATGCAATAGGATTCTAGGTTACATTCGTCGGTCGGTTGCAAGTAGGACATCTCGCGTTATTCTTCCGTTGTATGCGGCGCTGATAAGACCCCAGCTGGAATATTGCATCCAGTTTTGGAGGCCTACAAATAAGGGCGATCTGTTGGCGCTCGAGGGAGTACAGAGGAGGGCCACAAGAATGATTAAGGAGGTTAGGGGACTATCATACGAGAAGCGTTTAGAAGTGTTGAGACTGTACTCGCTCGAACGAAGGTTAAGGAGGGGCGATCTCATCCAGGCTTTCAAGATAATTAAAGGAATAGATAATGTCGAGTGTGGTAGGTTTTTCCAGTTTGATGACAGCAAGAGAACGAGAGGTAACCGACTTAAGTTGCGCAAACCGCAGGTGCGGCTCAGGTCGAGACAGGAATTCTTTACTTGCAGAGTGGTGAACGCGTGGAATGCGTTAGATGACGAAGTAGTGGCTGCCCCTTCTGTGACTATCTTTAAGAAGAAACTAGATGCTTTCATGGACAGGCAAAAAGGTGGGGGGCAATGTTGACGTTAGGTACTAGACAGTAAGCAACTAGGATAGTAAAAAAAAAAATATTTAGCTTTAAGAGGGTTAGGCTTACCCTAAAATTAAGGAACGCTCGACCTCGACACGTGATATCGAAATGGGCAAAATCGCCTCTTGATGTCACTAACTATCTTGACTCTCTTGACTCTTGACTCTTGTTTCCAAGGTGACCAAGGCCAAGCCTGAAAAGTTATTTGTTGTCAAGCAACGGAAGCAGTAACAGAAACACAAAGACAGGACGGGACTATGCAGAATTTTAAATAATCATTTCCGAGGTTTATCACCTTAGCCAGTCCTTCGTCCGACAACCATCACGGTACAAGTGCGTCCTGAAATTTCGATTCGAAATGTGAAGGGAAGGAAAGTCTCAGCGAATTCATTCTCCTTCCCTCATTCATGACGACTAGTAAACTTTGATGGATTTGATAAGGACCCTCGTCCCTTTGCCCTTCTGGCACTGAATTTCAACGCCCATGACGACTCCCTTATGACTGCAAGACAAGGACCTCACGAAATTGAAATCGTTGAAAATTGTTTTCCATACTGCCACATCAGATGTGCAATATCACTCAAGTTCTTGGAAATTTAAATTTGAAGATGTACAGGGCGTACCAAAAGTAGTGCATGCATTTTATTTGCGTACAACACAAAAGTAGGAAAGGATACAGCAACTTTATTTTAACGGGACATTTTACAACATATGGAGATTAGATAGGCCCTACTTGTGAAAGATTATGTCTTTGAGATGACCGCCATGAGCATTTTTGCACTGCCTCACTCGAAGCACAACATTTTGCATTACTGCCTCAAGGACATTTGGAGTTATGCCACCAATGGCAGCTCGAATATTCTCCTTAAGAGCCTCTGTTGTTCTTGGTTTATTCGTGTATACCCTCTCCTTGAGGAAGCCCCACAGGAAATAATCTGGTGATGACAGATCGGGAGACCGAGATGGCCAGGAGACATCTCCAAACCGTGACATGTCATGGTTTGAAAACATTCCTTGAAATAAGGACATTGTTTCCCTTGCAGTGTGGCATGTGGCGTCATCTTGCTGAAACCAAATTTCCTTAGATGTCTGATCCTGTTCCAGTAGAGGCTGCAGGAATGTTAGCATTTGACGATAACGTGGGCTATTCACAGAGACTGCTTGGCCTTCATCATCTTCGAAGCGATGTGACATGATCCCACACCAAACAGTAACTCTTGCTCCATGCAGAGGCCTCTGTTGCATTTCACATGGTTGTTCAGATGCCCATATTCGGCAGTTCTGTTTCTGTATTTAGGTTGTTTTGAGAAAAACAGCAAGAAGTTTCAAAACCACATGGCTCCTAATATTCAAGATAATAAAAATATATATATTATAGCATCATCGATCATTTTGCAATTTTAGGAATATCAGAAATGAAAGTTTGTACAACAAACATATAGGTGACAGCATTATCTCAAAATTTTCACAAATGTGACTTTGATCGTTCTTCCCGTGGGCTCTTCATTTGTATTTACGGTACCTTCCATGATCAGAATACCCGAATAAGTTAGACAAAGGGACTAAGAACGATAAGAAAACAACATTTTGTAGGTGAAAAGTTTCGCTATGCAATCACACTTTGATGGGCTCCTGTGTTACTCACTCTATCACTCTTCCTTCCAAGATGAGCTTTCACGAATTCCTCACAAGTTTGGGCCGGCGGTGGTGTCCGTACCCGGTAGAGATGAGTAGCTGCAAGTAGCGTAAAAATTGTCTCTCGTGAGAAGTCAAAACTGGGTACGGCAGCGCCGAGAGGGTTTGGCACTTTCAGTAAAGCGATGCAATGCATGGAGACTTTTGACAATCTAGGCATCTACTTGGAAGGTGAAATCTCGAGATCTTGGATCTTGGCTTGGATCGAACAATCCTTTAAATAGTTACACGGCTGTTATCGGTCGGTTGGGTAAAAGGTTGAAAGATGTTAGAGGCAGGCACTCTTTGTCTCCATCTGACTTCATTTCCAATCCTACTCTGCGTGATTCCATGACAAGCACTTCTCTCCGATCGCTTAAGGGAAAACTTAAAAGTGAAAAAAGAAGGTAAGGGCCTGCAATATGTCTTCCTCCGCCCCGAACTTCAGAGAATGCATCTTCTGCTGGGAACCATCGTTGAAAATGTGGAGGACGATGAGTCGAAGTCATATGGAAATGCATTATATTTATTCCCATAATAATAATAATAATAATACAGAGAAAATTTTGCTTTTGAATGGCTCTATGTTTATGATATTGCCCCTTGAACACGCCGAATCGTCCGAGAATAGCAGGCAGAGCAGGCAGGCTTTCTCGCAATTGGAATTTCAGTTACTTGTTGGAAAGGCAGAAATACAGCCTAATCGCGTGAAAGAGTATATAAAAGAGCATTTTCTATTTAAATCTTTGTGATGTCCGTTGAACACTGCTTCAACGTGAGCCACGGCGCCTGAATCCACTGTTCAAGTACGTGCTCCCCATTCAACTAGATCGGCTCTTCAGGGTGGACCAAAAAGAGTTCACACTTTTTATTTCATTGCCACATCCACATTTATTAATATGCGTTTAAGCAATGTCGGGAGTAAATATTCCTGCTTTTTCTTGATCGAGTGCTACTTCCTTCAAAGAAATACAACCAATAATTGGCGCAGTAAAAAAAGTCGCAGTTGCGCTCTCATCATTTGCATTTGGATGCATGGATAATTATTCACAGTCTCGAAGCGGTGCTGGGCTTGACTGACAGCGGTTGTCGAAGCAGAAGAGGGGAACATTCAACATAGTTTCCGATAATTATGAATAATTTCAATCCGAACTCAATGGCTGTTGCTATCTTAGCATTTTAAAACCTTATCATTGAAAAAAAAAGGAAGCAAGGACCATTATCCCAGCTAATGTATCGCTCAACTGTTTCAACGGTTTTAAACCACCAGTCGTAAGTGAATGATTGTGAAAAGATGATTTGATGAATTTTCTTAAATTTTGAAATAAATATCATTTATTCAAGGAAGACTGGTATTATTCATCCTCCAAATAGTACGAGGGTTGCTCGGGAAGTAATGTACAATCATTTTTTTCTCACTGTATTGAAGAGAATTACATGAGATTAACCAGTAATGCCCATCAGGGCTTTGCGATGAACCACCCATTATTCGACATCGTCACCATTACGGCCAATGCAGTTTTCCCACCGTTTTACAAAGGTATGAATTCCATCCCGATAGATGATAGCAAGAAGCTCTTGCCCTGGTGACGAAACCACCTTCGAATTGCATTCTTCACATCCTCATCATTCTCGAAGTGATGTCCTCTGTGGTCGTCATTCACGGGTCCGAAGAGGCGGTAGTCGGACGGCGCCAGGTCCGGATCATCAATTGGCATAGCAATCAACTGGTGATACGTCTATCGTTTATCCACTTTCTTGATGCTCTCGTCAGTGGTGGCAGTGATGGGTCGTCCCGAACGCGCCTTGTCTTTAACACTCGTCTCTTCAGATGTGAAGCGACTCACCAATCGTCTGACAATGCTCTCATCAACGCAGGCGTCACCATAAAAATCTTTCAGGCGGCGGTGGATATCTGCAGGCTTTACACCCTCCCAACCAACGAATTCAACTACCGTTCTCTGCTTCTCACGCACCTGCAGTGTGGCGGCCAATTTGAACGTACAGTATCTCCTGTTGCAGTCTCCCAGCGGATAATTCTGAAACTTGCGAATTTTTGGCGGGAAAGTTCATCATTTACGCAGAAAATTTTAAATCGACCCTGGCATACATTTCCTTAGAAAAATTATCGTGCATTACTTTCCGAGTGACCCTCGCCTATGAGCGCGGCTCAACTAGTACGGATGTGTAATTTAGGAAGTATAATAAAACTCTTTAATCTCCCCCGTATTTTCGCGGGAATGGAAACGACTGCGGAAAATGGAATGGAAACGCTCGAGCGCTTTGCGTTCCGCAACATTTTCGGTGTGCACACTACACAGACCGCGTATGACCACGACACCACTTTCCATCCGTGATTCTCGACCTAGGTTCGCATCCACGAGAGAGGCATCAGCACAGATGGAATGTTAAAGGAATCGGAAGGAAAATATGCGAGCAGGTTAGTCAACAGTCGATGCAGATAAAGGGAAGCTGATGAAGGAAAGACTGGCTGCAGTAAAGAGATAAGAACGAGGCCCACGATCGCATTTCTCTCCTCTGCTTCGTCCACTTCGCCTTCGCGATCGTGATCCGGTGAGCACTTGAACGGCAATCCAGTCCTTCATTTTAAGTTAGTGACGATTGGGTGCCCGAGACGATTCAATGGATGCCTAATAACGGTGTACCCTCGACAGTGAATAGTCCCTGGAAACGTGTCGTCGCACGAAAAGTGAATTCTGGCGCTTGCGCCATATCCACTGCCCCCGTTGAATTTTTATCTCAACCTCTAATTATACATGGTTCTTCGCCTTTATTTTGACGTGCTCTTCTCTCGTTTGGCTCTTTTTCTTAAAAATAGTCCAGTTTTAGAGGGTCAGCAGATTTGACGGAAACTATATCTTACAAGTGCAACACTCGCGCCTTCGGGTCTGACCGGTATAAGTAAATCTGATCGCTATTAATGTATCGTAAAATTGCGCGTTTGAGGCTTAAAGCTTTTAAATAAAGTAATAAAACATAATTGATTTTAGAAATTTTTCATGGTGACGTCACGTCACTTCCAGTGATATATACCCGCTATAGGAAAACAGCAACCAATTGAACGTTTTTTCCAGGTGAATGGCAGAATGGGGGGACTGTCTGCTCCCCCGCGAAAATTCATAATCGGAATTTCTCCTTCATGCATTACCTTTTCCAAATACCGGGTTAACATTTAAGACAAAAAAAAATACTGGAAACCTCCCCCTGCCCCCTCTCGGGAAAAATTTGCCTCCAGAGGGGAATCCAGCAGTATGAATTTTCCTGAAATCAGACCTCCCAATAACTACTTCTGTACCGAGGTTCAGTCTTTTCTCATGGTGGAGCGAAAATTTTCCTGATAAGACGTGCGCTCTATCGTGCCCCCAGAAATTAGCGTCAGTCACTCACTCACTTACCTACCATCGTCTATATATTAATACATTAGACGCTGTATTCAGTAATAATGAGTGATGTGACTAAAAACCACATAGGATGCACGACTTGACTGCTGAATAATGAAAATTCAGGGACCTTTTCACAGCTGAATAATGTGGTTTTCCAAATTACCACGCATATGCTTTATCAACATAGGTTAAACGTTGCCAATGTTGACACATCAACTGGCAGGCGATTCAACGTTGGCACAATGTTGCACTTTAGATGGCTTTCGGTATTGATGGTTTATTTATTTATTTCGCTTCATTAGTATCAGTCAAACTGCAATTAAGAATACATATTCGTGGCATAAAACTTCCTACGATTACGGAAAACGATAATGTAAAATATTTGGAAAGCCTGCAAGAATCTCCTGAATGTGGATCAGGTGTGGAATGCGACATGGCTCGGGGAAGCGCCGTCTGTGTCGTTGAACGCACGGAAGGCGAGGATGGTGATTCGTACTACACGTTGAAGGAGGGGATACTCAGAAGCATCTTATTGCAAGAGCACTGCAAAGATAAGCCGGTCGCAGTCGTGTCCATCGCCGGAGGAGCAAGGAGAGGAAAATCTTTCTTGCTCAGTCTCTTTCTGAGGTACCTGAAGGGGGAGGTAAGACGCAAGTTTTGGATCTGCACCAGTCGAGTGCGTCCACTTCTCAACTCTTCCCAAGTCTCTTCATTCCATTTCAGGGTTCCGACAGGTGGCTTGGAGATGAGGACACTCCGGTGACGGGGTTCGCTTGGAAAATGAGTGCGAGGAGAGTGACGACAGGAATCCACATCTGGGACGAAATCATTCCTGTGAAGCTGCCCGGTGGTGAAGAGGTATGAGAGCAGTGATCTCCCATTCTCTCTTTATGCCTAAATATGTGATACACAGTCGAGGAATGCATAGAGTTGAGAAAAAAGGCTCGTGTTCCAGGCGTGCATAATTCTGATGGACACAGAAGGGACGTTCGACTGCGAAGAGCCTCTTGGACATAGCGTTACCGTCTTTGCTCTCAGCACTTTGCTCAGCTCTCTGCAGATTTACAACCTCAAGGATAACATCCAGATGGACGACCTTCTGCATCTACAGGTAGTTTCATCTAATTATAACTCGCCATAAAGTGGTGTTTCTTCCACTTAGTTAATTCTTTCACGAATAAAAAATGAAGTAACATGAGCACGACAACTTTGTATATGTGAAAGGCAGCTAAGCCTATTTGCTAAGACTACTTACTACTTACTTATATATAGATAGAATGCATGGCCTAAGTCACTTGAACTTGAAAAGGATTACACTTTAAACATGAAGATTCTCCTCCGGGTGAGTTTCTATGTAAACCTCTTAATATCAATCTTGATGCTTCAAGTATGGGGAATGATGCTCCAAGCCGATTGAGCTGAATTATTGGTGGACCTTCTCGGCTTTAGTTTTTCACAGGGTATGGCCGGCTGTGTCTTGAAGAGAGAGAAGAGAAACCCTTTCAAAGCTTTCTGTTCCTTGTGCGGGACTGGAGAAACAACCACGAATATCACTATGGCAATGAAGGAGGGAGGGAGTTCCTGGACGACAAGCTGCAGGTCTTGTTCCACCTTCGTCTATGATATGCCCGACAGATCATAATCGTCTGTAATTGAGGTAGGTTGTTGATTCTTCCAGACTTCTGGGAAACAGCGAGAAGAAGTCAAGAGCGTGAAGGAAGACATAAAATGTTGTTTCGCGGATATCAATTGCTTCCTGATGCCTTATCCAGGGGAGAAGGTGGCTGGAGATCCCCATTTCAACGGCTACCTTTCAGGTGTGTTCCTGCTTATAGTTTTCGCAGAGGTGATCGTCTTCTCGATGTGATTCTTAGTGATTGTTACGAATCATGTTCATCGACTCATGATAACAGATATAAATGAGGACTTCAGGGAGCAGTTGCAGCATTTGGTGCCAATGCTGCTCTCTCCAGAGAATTTTGTTCTGAAGAAGGTCGCAGGGAAGGCTATCACATGCCAGGAACTTTTCGAATATTTCAAGTGTTATGTGACAGTTTACAATAACAGAGAGGAGATCCCCGAACCACGGAGCATCCTCGAGGTAATTTCCACTCGAAAGCTTCAGCTCCCAGGTGATAAAGTGTTGCTTCGAGACTCACGTTGCCCCATTTTGTTCAAGGCCACTGCAGATGTCCAGCATCGGAATGCTTGCGATGAAGCAACCAAAAAATACCAGAGAAGAATGGACGGACTACTGGAAGAAAATCCCGTGCCGACTCAGAAGAGATTGGACGAGATGCACGCCAGACACAAAGCGGAGGCAATTCAGATCTTCACGAGTTCGAAGAAAATGGGTGGTAAAGAGCTATCCGAAAGATATCGACATCTATTGGAAAAGGTCAGTCAGGTTTGCAAATACGGTAGGTGCTTACCTGAACAAGAAGTAGTCTCGCTTGTGAAATTAAAAAAAAAATCTGCCGTGGGCTAATGCATCTCCAGCTTCTCTTGAAATCTGCTCGCCTATGCAATATCTATAAGTCAGTGCCATGAGGTTATTAGGTGAGCAATAAAGAAGTATACGATAATAGCCATTTTCAAATGGAAACAAGCAATTGTGTGATATTGGAGAATTAAAAAAAAAATCTTTGTTGCCCTTAACTTAATTCAAAATGGCGCCCAGGTACTCAACTGAGGAGGGAAGGAAGATTGCCTGCCAGTTAGACAAACTTTAGTCTTGATTCTCAGCAGTTCTCTGAGTTTTAGGACAACCAGATCTTGATTTATCTAAGACACTTCCAGTTTCCGCGAAATTTTGTGAATACTATAAATTTTAACGACGAGTAGACGAGCAGGCACATGGCCTGGAAACAATTTTTGAAATCCCTGTCACTGGAAGTCACTGGACTCTCAGGAATGCTCATCATACAGGATGACACCAGAATCTTTCTTCATTCCTCGGCTAAGTCTCTGATGACGGGAAGCATCCCTCGTTCTCCGTCCGATACCTGGGTGTTTCAATTTCGAATGGCGGGTCTCACGACGGTCTATGAGACGTAATTTGATTTAGTTTCAATAAGGAGGACGTGAATGTTTCACAGATGACAGTCAGAAATATAACATGCATAGTGTGAACGCAGGATGATCATCAAAAAACACCAGTGCATTGCCAAGACCAGCTATTCTTTGGCGTGTAACAATTTGACCAAGATCCTTTATATTGGTGACCGAAAAACATTCTAACCTTCATCGCAATGACGGTTCTATTCTCATCATCAAATAATCCTATTGTGAACGCAAATATGACGATTTAATCTTGCTTCTCACAATGTTGTCCTTAAAACTAAATCTCCATTTTCATAGAATTTTTGCGAGCTGCGTGAGAGGTACAAGATACAAAGAGATGCGAGGGAAGAAAGAAGTAGGTCGGAGCTTATGGAAGTAGCGAATCGCGTTCTGCAGGAGTACGGACAGGATATGGCTGCGTTCATGAGGAACATACCTTTAGTGACCAAAGAGGTTCTGCAATTAAAACACCAAGAAAAGAGGAAAGAAGCTATCCAGACCTTCCAAGAGATGAAGGAAATGGCCAATGAAGACCTCTTCTATCATTGCAAGGAGAGACTTGAAAAGGTAAAAATTTTCACCATTTTCTTAATGTACGTTTTTCCTGTTCTTGTTCTTGCTTCTTCCTGTACCTTACTACGTTATCATTGCTATTTCTATGAACATTATCGTAATTTTCACATTCGAACTTCATCCTTGAGGGTAGGATGTGGAGACGCAGTCCAAGACTTACATCACGGATAGACAATGGAGAGAGGGTAAAGCAGTTAGGGAACTGATAAACGCCGTCCAAGCAATTGTTTGGAAGTACAGCTCTCACATGGGCCGATTCTGTGGAGAAGCTGTGATCACGGAGGAGGAGCTGCGTATTGAGCACGAGAAATACTGCAGGCAAGCATTTGAGGACTTCTTTAACAGAACAGAAAATACACCGTGTCCCTACTTTCTGAATGAACACCAGGACAACCTGAAAAAGGTCCCCTTCCTGATTTTTATGCCTGCTGTTTTGAGCCTGTTCAATGCTCGGCTACTCATTGTATCCAATTCTTTGTTTTGGCAGCGTTTGGATGAACAATATAAGGTATATGTGGAACTCAGACAATCAAAAGAGAGAAAAGCCGAAACGGAACTGATGAACGCAACTGAGGCGGCTACCGGACAATACAACGATGAGATTTGCGGACTTTTGGAACGATCCTTGATGAGTGAGGAAGAGCTGAGGAAGGGACATGAGGATTGTCATCGACGGGCGATTGAAGCCCTTTCGGACGTAGGGAATCTGTATCCATTCCTTTTGAAGAAACACAAGGACGAATTGGAAAAGGTCGATTACAGCGTAGTGTGGATTACGGTAAGGTGTGTAGATGACGTTCCGCATGAGACCCTCTTCCGTCCTGACAGCGCCTGGCAAACGAGTACGAGAGGCATAAACGAGCGAGAGAGGCACAAGAGAAAGCGGCAGAAGCGGTACTCGAAGATGCAGTGGGAAAAAGTGTTATTCGTTACGAGATGGAGATGGCCCGCTTGTGTGGAGAATTCGTGATCAAGAGGCTCATCAGAGGGCAGGAGCTGGGTAACGGACACGCGAAATATCGCGAAGAAGCACATGAGATGCTTCGGAAGACGGGAGAGGAGTGGCCGCACCTTGCAAACAAATACAAGGACGAGCTGGAAAAGGTTACTCTCCTTTCATTTCGTCTATGTCAATTTTATTCGTTTCAATTCGTCGAGACCGTCGATTTTGGGATGGTCTGCAAGAGAAATCGGAAGGAAAAATCCTTTCGGTACGAAACTGAATCAGAATTGCTTGGGATCTCATCCCCCAATAAAGACTTCGGAGCCAGATAATCGTCAACGAAGGCTAAAAGCATTGAAAATTTTCAATGCCGTGTCCCTTCAGAAGCGATTCGTACTTGCTTGTACACTTTTCATTGTGTCACGGAGTAGGCGTGAACTTCGGATGACACTAGGTCAAATTCATGGAGACCATAATCAGTAAAGGAATGAGGATGTTTTCATCGCGGGTATTCTCTGCCCTCAGAAAATTAGTAATGCAGCATAAGGAAGTCTACTCCAGGGTATTTGAAAAGAAAGCGCGAAAGCAGCCTATCTGCTTCCGAGAATGTGGCAACAATCTCTCATCCTTCTCTTGATTGTGGTGCATCATAAGCTTAGACAGGATGAATTCAGAAATTTAATAACCACGGGAAATTGCCAAATAAATGAAGTCTGATGAAGGAAAAGCAAGAAAAACGAAGAGACTCTGCGGGCAGGTGGCCCTTGCTTACAGACCACCGTTTCTTGTATTTTTTTTCTTATAAGTGTAATCAAGAATGTTTTAAGTTTTCCAATAGATGCCGCTTGTGTAGAACGGTACACGGGAATTCACACATACGAGGTTAATTGCCGTCGCGGGAAGTCAGGGAAAGTTCCAAGATTCGAACTCGCATCTCCTGCCCAAGACCTCGAAAGTATAGCAATAGAAGTCCCAAAAGTCGTATCCTCTGGTCGAGACGGTCGATCGATGCGAAAATCGTCCGAAGCGGTTCGGTCATACCTGCCGTCTTGTGAAATGCGCGTATCGGTCATCTGAATACGAACAAGAAGTAGATCCTCGACCACGTCGAACTCCGAAAGAGCTGCGTTGTTGCATATGGATCACGGAAGACAGATTTTAAGGGGTAAATGAAGCGGACATATTTTGGAGTCGATGCGGGAGCGTGCTGTGAGAGTGCATAGGGCTGCATTGCTCCAAGATCCCAACTCTAGGAAACCATGAGCGCTTTGTAGTTTCCCTTTTTTCTCACAGCGCCTCATGACTGTGAAAGATGAATTCGAGAGAGGAAGAGACTCATCGGAGGAAAAAGTAAGAAGCTTTCTGGAGAATGAAGTCAAGAAAAATGCGAAAGAGTATATCGGCCCAAATAGGATGAATAAATTCTACGGAGAAACCGTTGTCGGACGAGAAGAACTCCTGGAAAATCACAAGGAACATAGGAATGCGGTAATACGACGTTTTCAAGAAGCTGGAAACTGGGCACCCGACTGGCTTCTCGAGGAATATGAACACGTCTTGGCTAACGTACGGTAAATCCATTCCATCGTGGTCGAATTCCTTTTTGCATTGGCGTCGGATCTTCTGGCAATCTAACTCTCATTTCGACAGACTTTGAATTCCTGGCATCGTGAATTGGAGAAGAAGATGGGAGAGGAACGCAACAAGAGAGCGTGGGACAAACAAATGGCGACGCTAGCCACTGCGACGGGCTCCATGATGGCAGGTACGGTATTCGGTCCGGGCTCTGGCGCGGTGGCAGCTACCGCATCTGGTGCCGTGGGTGGAGCGATCACGCAATACATAGGAAACTCCAGATGGCGCAACAACGCAGTCCTTCCCGATCTGAACAGCATCTGCATCGAATCGAGTGAGGTGGTCAGTCCTTCCCTCGAGGAAGAAGAATCAGAAGAAACAGAGGAACCTTGAGAGAGAATGAGAAGAGGAAGACGATTCCGGCCAAAGCGCTATTCCTATCATGTTCAAGGAAATACGTCATTGAAATAATATAATCTATTTTGACCGATGTGACGGTATTATTGATATCAATTCGGTCTGATGCTTTCGGGACTATCGGGAATGGTGTTCAGAGTTTTCCACAGTGGTCCACTTGCATGAAATTTTCGAGTAAAATTATGTCTACATTGAACCGATGTTAGGATTTAATGAGCCCACTGCAAAGTACTATGCGAAAAGCCTGAACTTTCATCATTTTGGTAGGAGTCCACATGCAATCCTCCTGGAGGAAACGAAACAGAGATGTTCTTCATTTGGTGTTCGCAATGCTCATTGCACAGCCACAATCCAAAGTTCTTTCAACATTAAAACAATGTTCTCCATCAACCTTCAACATTCTCGTATTCAGCCAACTTCCAATCGATGTTGAATTATTGGTAAATGCTACCTGGGAAAGTGGGGCGCAATTCTGTTCAACTGAATAAGGTTTCACCGTGACAAGCTTGTGTGGTACTAATACGGTTGCCAGTAACTGGCCTCATGGATGTGGCCAATGTGCGGGTATACAATGATATGCTAGACACGATCATGTCTTTTGGTTTCCCAGACCTTTCCCTTGTACGACTCAAGCACGGTAACAAACTCCAGAAATTCTCCAAGCGCGTCCTATCGGGCTGCCATGTAGGACATGCCTCGACATGTTTCGCTACCGGGGATGGTATTCAATTTTTTGTTGTATTCGTAAGGTGCATATTGAAGAAAGGTGACAGGAAATATGATGGGCCAGGGAGTGCGGCTGGTATGGCTTCACTGCCACGTGCTCCTACCTATTTCAATTTACCCAATCACCCTCTGAAGACTCTTCAATTCATCCGCAAATTCAGCCCATCAAAGGATAGGGAAGAAATTGGCTTGTTCATCGACGTGTGGCTTGATGCCCTGGCATAATGGGTTAACGAAGTACTGAAAGAAAGAGAACGGCTATTGAATAGCTTCGAGAGGCAGAAAAATAAAGGTGATACAACATGAAAAGTTATTTATATATTAAGCATTTGCACATTAACCCTGAGGGATCGTCTCTTTAACCACCCTTTCTACATCGGTGATGACATTCGACTTGTAGAAGAACGAGCGGTATAAACGAGGGGGTGACGCGTTGAACCCCTGCGCCCGCCGCTCCTTCAGTCGGGCAATTCAGTTTCTTTTATTTCGCACAATCACAGTAACCCAGAGCAGATTGCCGTTTCTAGCAAGAGGGAATTTTTGGGAGAGAAATAATTTATTTTTCAAGTTACTGCCAATAGTGTAGAAACAGTGTTCCCACTTCCTCTTGAAGAGCTTTTGGGAATGATGTTCCTACATGCCATTCTCGCACAAAAAAAAGTATGTGAACGCCGTCACTACTCTTCCCAAATAACTTTCATCACTACTCAGATGCTTTCACCTTTACCTAGATATGCAAAATTAGGCGTGCACCTAGATATTAAGGGTTGAAAGTACTGGAGGTATGATAATCTTGCAATTCATGGAATTTTAAATCTGAATTGCGGATTGGAGGATGGTAGCGACTTTTTTCAAAGGACGCTTGTGTGGAAGTTTATTTTCCATTCGGTAAAAAGGGATTCCGTTCGAATCCTGTTGGCAACTCTGCAATCCCTCACTCTCCAGATGACCGGATGTTTCGTCTCTGACTTGTCCACCGTGTGGATGACACTCAGGCCGTAGACCTACTAACCGAGACGATGTATTGACATCGCCATTATTACTCATAGTTCAACGCCATTCTTGTTCTGGGATCACAGGAAGGTTTCTTCTGCTCATTCATCTTATAAGTTAGCAAGTGGCGTTGATACCCCAAGATGGGCTTAGTCCTTGATGGGCCTAATTACTAGCTTACAAGTCTTTAAAACGGAGCCGCCCTCCACTTACCCCAAAATAATTAGCTCTAATTTGAGCTTAGTCTAGCATGGACTTCTTGTCAACTATGGTTTGTTTTTCTCAAGTAAACTAAAACTGAAAAGAAATAATTGAACCGGCCTCGTGAAATCTATTTTCAGCTTAGCTGATGTCCAATTAGCTGAAACGAAACCTGAGTTAAACGAAGTGTTCTCTGACCTCCCATTAGTTAACGTGGAAATAAACTGAAACACGCTGGCTGTTAACTGGGGGTTGATTTTGCTTGATGCCAGTTTCATTTTAATAAGATAAACCTTGTACATTTAAGTATTACCAGTAGTTTTAGTTTCACTGCACTTTAGCTTCAGTTTCGCTGTTTCACTCTAGTTCTAGTTCCAGTTCAGTTTCAGTTTGCCCTTATTAAACAGGGACATCAATAAGCTGATGTGAAACTGTGGTCTATATACAATTTTGCAGACTTCCATTTACTGGAGATAAACTGGAACTGTACTGAAATTAAACTGCGGCTGAAACTATAAATAAACTGAAGGATATGAAATTGCTGTAATCATCCACCTATAGTTGGATCATAGGCTGAATTAGGTCTGCTCAAAGGCAGACCATAAAAGGCACGACCAAGGAGTTGAGAGATCATGATGAAATTTGCTACACAAGCTCATACTAGCACACAATGAACTCAATTAGAGCTTCAAGGGTGTGGGATTAAAATTCATGGATAAAACTTGCCAAATGCCCAAGGAATGGGGGAAGAAGTTGGCATCATTGAAGGTGCCAGTTTTCTTCCCTCATTTTCTCAAGCCATATCACTGTTGGGCCACTGTTAAGAGTCTAACTAACTATGAGGCAGTGCCAATATGAGATCTTTGGAGGCAGTTTCAACAAGTTGTTAGGGTGTTTGATTGATGCAGGCTAATTGGGATGCATGTATCAGTTTCAGCATCAGACTGATGCAGGCATCAAGTAGATGCATGGTAAGCATCCCAATTTCCCTCCATGGATCCACCATAACATCTTGTTGAAATTGCCTCCAGAGATCTCATCTTGGCATTGCCTCATGACTCTCATGGCCCAACAATCACCTTTGTCCCCCAAAAGTCACCTTTCAATGTCACCAACTTCTTCCCCAATTCCTTGGGCATTTGGCAAGTTTTCTCTACATTGCCTCATCTCATGACCTCAAAACAATACTAGATTTTCTGATCTTTAGGAGATTCCCTGCCATGTTTCATGAGTAAAAGTCCTCTAGGCAGGGCCAACAAGAGGGAGGGGGGCATCAAGGACAATCTGCCCCAGGCCTTAGATATCAAGGGGGCCTTCAAAGGACCTCCAAGGGCCCTCAGATTTAGTTTCATCCTGGGCCTCTGAAAACCTCAGGGTGGCCCTGCTTCTAGGTGATCATTTTCAGCAATTAGTATGATCCCATAGATGCTATTGAAATTGGATTGTTTGGCAAGTTTTCTGAATGAACATTCATGCCATACCCTTGGAACTCTAATTGATTTCATCATATGCCAGCACAAGCTTATGTACCAAATTTCATCAAGACCTCTCTACTCCTTAGTCATGCTGCTTTTTTTGCTAATTAGTATATAATATATTTTTTCATAGTACTTGAATAAAACTGGAATCCCAGCAATGATTTTGTGAAAATCCTTTTCTCTTTTTCAGTTTGCTTAAGAAACTTGTCCTTGGGCTTTGTCAATACCTACATAGTGTTCTTAACCTTAGTTGATGTTGGAAAGAGATGGAACATGTCCTAGATGAGGTCTTATGATCCAGATTATCATTGGTGGACCTAGTAGTACTGATAAGTTCATAAACAACTGTTGTTACTGGACATACTTGCTTTTCAGTTTTTCCCAGGGGAGTATGCATTAAATCCAGGTATGACTGAAAACTTGTCTGGAGGGAAGGAAAGGCTACTGGATGCTGTACAGCATAATGCTTCCAGTGGGACAGTTGCACCTTGTTTTGATGGCATAAGTTCTGACCTATTGAGTCACTCTAATGATGGTTCTCTGATGACAGTCAAGAAAACAGAACCCAAAGAATATGCCATCCTGGAACAGGTGATCCCCAAGCAGTTGCTGCGATGGGCCAAAGACCGGTGCAAGCAAGGTTTGTTTCTTCTGCATTTAATTTTAAAATCCCATTTAATGACTTATACTGACAATTTGCAAGACCAATGCACAAGGAGCTCATGTTGCTCTTCACCAATATTTAATTGGCTTAGCATGAGCTCATAGTAGTCTAATGTTACACAAAATTGTTTACATCTTTCTATGAGCTGCTTTGAATAGTGATGAGGGCAAAAAGTAAAATTGAGCATAAAAGGAAGATTGCTACCACTTATCAACATTGAAAGGAATTTGTTGCATTGGGAGAACTCCATTTCATTATTGGGCTTTGTTTTGTCAGTTGGGAGGAGACAGTTCAGAAAGACTCAACTCCTCCAACTTGCCATAGCCTATATTCGAGCCTTGGAGAGGGCAATCCAGAAATATTTGCAGTGCCCATCTAGCATCATACCTGGCAAGTACTTGTATTTCATTGAGTTCATTCTTCAAGGAATGGCTCAGAATGAAGCTGTGATGTTAAGTTGTCTTCTGTCACAGATTTGAGAGGAGTGAAAGGAGTTGTGAGGATTGAGAAACCAGTGCCAATACGAAGCTTTGCCATCAATTTGTCTGATTGTTCAAAATCATCATTTGCTCCTCCTCAAGTACATTGGTGGGAAAGAGAAGTCTCCCAAGAAGTACAGGAGATCTCTGATCAGCTGGAGCATGTGATTATTTCAGGAAAGAGATTATGTGAGGATCACAAACCTGGTCCTTTTTTTTCTCCATTCAAGAAGCACTGCCCCTCTCGTGAGCCATCCCCTGAAGTTTCTGAAGAGTTTCTTCGAGACTACAATTGGTTGGAAGCCAATAACTGGCCAGAACTGGGGTTGGGTATCCTTCCTCTTTTTCCATCCCAGCTGGACAGTGTTGAAACAAGGAGTTTCCCACAAGAGGAATGCAGTCTTCCACCAAATCCATCTCCTGATATTGGCAGTTTCACATATGAAATAGAAGGAAATGAAGAAGGGGCATGGTTTCACCCATGGTATGTGATAGATGATGGATCAGGGTATGTTCGAGTGCCAGTAGAAACATGGAGGGCCATGCTCACCCTGATTGAATCTCATTTTGATCTGTATGGCAATGGCTCCCACCAGTACTATCCTAGTTGCCATGCTTGTGATCCCACTGTTGGAATAAAGTGAGGTCAGTCTTAAGGGATAGAATATTTGTCTCATTCACCTCCTTTAAGGAAAAAGGAATGAGGGAGTTTGAATGCATTACGAGGTATCCCAATTGCCATGCCTTGCAATGTGCATATTTCTAGGATCTCCATGAATGAAATTCCTCACCCTAAAGTGGTTTCCTGAGTTCACATCCCTCCATAAGAGCATTGGTGCTACTGGTGTTTTTACTGTCAGGATATCCATGGAATACCAACTCACTTTTGTAAGACTGGAGGAAACACGAGTCTGCTGGTGTCTGTAGGCCCCAAGGAAAAAATTATTTACATTAACCCTTCCTTGCTGTCAGGGGTCTTTCTTGACCCCATGGGATGAAAACTCCTAAAATCATCATGATTGATGTATTGTGTAACCCAAATCAATACAGGATATTTCATGGTTCACTGGGATATTTTTTATTTGGATTCATTGTGCCCATAAATGATAATCACCATTTCTGACTCTTGCTGTTGCCATGAATCTAGTCCAATGCAGTTAGAAGCAGAATGGGGTCAAAAAAGACCCCAGACAGCCTTCATGTTATATTTGAGCCTACAGCAAGGGTTAAAAGGGTGTGTGAACTCACCACAGAAGCAGTGTAACCACAACAGAGCCCCAGACAGACCTGTGATAAGATTTTGAAGATGGCAGAGGAGATTGCATTCTGAAGCATTTATCCATAGAAACGAGGACAGATACCATGTGAGTGGCATGGAGGACCACCATAGACAGTTGATACTGATGCTGAATGCTGGTGTCAGTAGAAGGAAGTGACATGCAGTAGCATCACATGCCATAACACAGATATGCATGGACTAGCACCTTCTTAATAGTGTGAGCCTCTACTTCCTTTTCTCTCCTGTTTGTCCAACTGATGCAGTTGCTGAATTATACTCTATGAAAAGTTCTTCCTTGTCTTTAATCAAAAGGCAAATCACAACTTGACTAGATCTTGTTTCTGATAATTACCAGCATGTCCATATCATTCTATCAGACTTAGAGCCAGATGTTTAATGGACTACTATCATATATAACTCAGAAGTTGGAATGAACATGTATTTCCTGTAAGATGATAAATTATCCCACAAAGGTCTTTGTCATGAGAAATTCAAGATATATTCTAGTCAAAAACACTAACTCAAGTTCCTGAGTAAATAATGCTAAAATATAAGCCTTCCTAGGCAGCAGGCCTACTGTAGAAGCAAAATGCTCTGAAAGTAAGGCATCGAGTCTCTTGGAAGGCAATTTGAACCAACAAGATAGATTCTGGACACAATCCAAGTGGCGTGTAGACTTTAGTCATCTGTGAAGTATGGCAATTTCACATATGGTGAACCTATTCCATTTTTTTGTTAGACATTTTTGTAATTCTGCAATTTGTATATATTTGTGATTGACTCATCAATTTAATGGAGAAAAGGTACATTTATGTTTTAACATGAACACCAATTTCTGTGGTAGCACTCTTTGATTCCCTTACCCTTGGAATCATTTGTGTGTAGTCCTTTTTCATTGCAGTACAATCAATTTGTCATGCATTTCCTTCACTCTATTTTGAAAATGCAAAGGCTAAAATTGATCTGAAACCTCTTGTCAAGTACAACAGGTCTAGAAAAAACAAACTTGAATAAACATACAGGTACCAGTAACATTACCAGTGAATTAGAAAATTTACTGGTTCCTCTCCCAGTACTCCCAACACTGGATCTAGATCAATTACAAGTCAAGCATAAGCATGCTCATATTGTTACTCATGCTGTCAATAAAGACACACAAGAAAAATTTCAAGAATGAGAACAGAACCAGAAGGATTTAATAATCAGATCAAAACAAAGATGGAGGAGTGAAAAAAAAAAGGAGTCAATGAGATCACTTGTCACATCTTGTTATGAAGTGGGAGAATCCAAATCAAAGACCCATAGGACATTGATTCCTGAGAGACTGAGGTCAACCCGGCCCAGCATCCCTCCTTCCTTGTGCTTCACATGATAGAGAAACAGCAGGAGGACGTAGAAGAGGTTGTTACGGCCCTGCAAAATCAAATCATGACAGCATAATGGGGTTCCTAGATGAGAATGCTTTAGCTCTGAATGGAATTTGCTCATAAGTGTCACCTTAGCAGGCTCAAAGGTGTCATTCCCATAGAGGAATTTGAAGTGTGGTGGATTGACTTGAGTCTGGTAAATGATTGGCATGTCTTTGCTAATGGGTTTGGATGGGCTCTTGACAAAGTACTGATTTGAAAACACTTTTCCATCAGCAAAGATAGGAAATGGAGGTAGGTGACAGTCAAAATATGTTGCGAATGCATGCATCACCAGCTGCAAAATAAATTCATCACTTGAGATGCCCTTCCTCTGTAGCTGTATGTGGAACAGAAATGAAAGACCTGGATAAACTCACAGCAGTGTCTGTCGGAAGATGGTCTGCCCAAGGTTTCCCATCATAACTACCACCAGAGTCCCACCGGTATTCACTCAAACATCCTCCCCGACCAAGTTCTACCATAAGAAAATGTTTTTTTTACCATAAGTCATGATCACACTGCTGTCAATGACAATGTAGACCATGGGTCTACTTCACCTCATATTGAACTTTTAAGGAGAGTGCTTCTGACCCAGTGCCAAACTACTCTTGGCCTCAAAGAATCAACCACTAAGTCATATAAGTGCTCAAGGTCAGCGGGAGGCCAATTGAAGGACAAGGAAATGACAGACCTCGAATTCGCATGACAACATATTCCTGATTGGGATGGACCTCCAAGTATGGGACAAGGACAGCAAGAGAAGGCAGGTGAGCTGAACGAGACAGTGCCAGATTTTTCAGCTGGGACAAACCAACTTGCCCAAGTTGGGCGTCACTATGTCCCAAGCTTATCAGTGCTTTGTTCACAGAATCCATCTCTGTCACCAGTCGGCTGAAGATTGTTTTGGATAGCCACTGAAACATCAACAAAGGATTATTTTTCTTTTTTTGTAAGCACCTTGAAGTAGGTGGATTTTAAATGTGAATTCATTACCTTCCTGATGTTTTCAGTCCAAGCATAAACAGTGAATGAGGAAACCCCAAGGCGTCTCCACACTTCTGCACTTGACCCAGAGCTGAGAGGAGATGAGTGCTCAGCAGATGATCCACCCATGCTTCCACCTGTCCCTCCACCACTTGTTCCCCCAGTCCCTGATGGGGACATTGCTGTCCCCAGCTGATAAGCATACTTTTTCAACAGGCAGGTATAGTCCATGGCTGCTGAGAGCATGCTGCGATTCATTGATGCTCCAGAACTGTTCATGCTCTCACTGAAACCTGATCAAGAAAAAAGTGCTTAAGAGTTATGAAACAAATTTCAACAATAGATGTTATGCTATAAATGATTCTTGATAATTTATTACTGAGGTTTTTCCGCTTTTCCTCATCATGAGCTTTCAGAAAGAAATCCAGTTCATCCTGAGTGGTCATTGGCTTTTCACCACTCGATGATAGGAATGATGAGCTCACCAACTTCTCCCATGATTCCTGTCGATCCTCCACACAAAACATAGAAATAATTTACTCCTCTATTCTACCAGCTTTGACCCACAATTGTAACAATCAGTGCAGAGCATTACTTGGCCACGATATGGTGTCCCAAGTTGTGAAATGGAAGAGCCTCTATGGTAAGACCAAGATGAGGTTGTGATTGAGCCACCAACAGGGGAGGCCTCATAGAAGCTTTGGGAAACATTCAATGGTGATCCTATATGGGGAGAAAAGAAAAGCTATGGCTTTCAAGGTGTCTTTCAAGAAAGTCTTCTTATTTGGAAGTCAAATATGAACTCGATGAGACCTGAAGAGGACATCCAAGAGACATGAGACATATTCATGGGTGTAATGCTGAGAAGAGAAGGGGTGGAAGGAGATGCAGGTGATCCTAATTTGACTGGCGTTGATGTAGACCCCTGTATGCACTGAAAACCAATATCTGCAGCATGAAAGTGTAAAAAAAAAATCAAATTTCATCCTCACATCATCCATTGCCATGGTGCTGCTTACTCACCATCATCTGCAATACCCAGGAGTTTCTTTTGTTCAGGGCTGATTTGGATCACCTGTGGCCAAAGACGTGGTTTGAGGAAAAATAAAAGATTAGCAGCTGCTGAAAAAAATAAAACCAATGCAATTGCTCTCTCAAATTGAACCAAGAGAGATGGTTCCCATTCCAGGTACAAGCAGATGCATGATTCCAGGGACAGCCTAGAATGACAATGGGAATGGTAATGATAAATTAATATTCGCATGTTGAAATGCTACAGAAATGTTTAATGCACTAACACATCCAAGTAGATGAAAAAACCAAGGATGGCATTGATGAAAACCCATTTCAGAAGACGTCTAGATTCATTGAGCTTCCGCCTCTGTTCCATCCATTGAGTCACCACTCTGTTCTTCTCCATTGCACAGGGTGTCAATGATTACAACAAATGAATGCAGTCTTCATCATCCTCCTTGTCTACACTAAGGAAAGATTGGCATAAAAATCAAACTGACAAAGGAAAAGGTCACAAGAAAAAATTGCAAGGATCTCTAAAAGCAGTTTTTGCTACCCTTTGATGAACCAAGCTCCTAGAAAGAAAATATTAAACAGATTGTGTGAATTTATTCAAGCCTGTCAGCAAGATCCAATGACAGGCTCTGAGGCCTGCCTGTGAGCATTGGGCTCTACCTGGAAGGAGTTGCTGGTATCATGATTTTTCAAAGTAACACAATGACAATATTAAAAAGTGTACATCTGAAAACACCTGTCCATATGTTGGTGGGATGTTTCGTACAGAGTGGGCCACAAAAAATGGAAAAATTTTGCACTTTTATAAAATCTATTAGAGATAGAAAACATGTGACAAGTTTTGTCAAAAAAGAAATCAAATAGTTATTTCTTACAGATACTAGAGATCAATGGAGCAATTCGCTACAGAGCAGCATAGTTTAACCTGTGACAACTACATTGAAACCAAGTTACCAAAACTGGTGCAAAGAGCCTTTCATCGATGTACTTGGCTATAAAGTAATAATAGCTCTGGTGAAGAAATTCAGAACCACAAGCTAAGTGCAAAATGCCAATAGAGGTCATTCAGGACCAAATAAGTATTCAAGAAAAAAGCTAAGCCAGTTGCTGAACTGAAGGACTTCAACATCCAAACTGTTGCAAGTATAAAAAATAAATACTCCAGAAAGCTTTGCCTCCAACGTTGTTGGAGACCATTCCCTTATTGAGGGGATGGTCTCCAAGACAATTCAGATATTGATAATAAAAAAAAGAAGCTAACCTGCTCATCTAATATAGATCTTGGAGGTCATCGTCACTCATTCAATTCACAGTTTCTTCATCTCAAACCCCGACCCCTTCAATTCAGGATCTCTGTTTTGTAGTGTCATTGAGCAATACAAGATGTCTCTTCCAGATGATCATGATCAATCAACAGCTACAGTTGCTCGGTATCGGATTGGCAAAAAGGTGAGATGGAAGTTAACTCTTATGAACAGCATGCTTTTAAACTTTCTTTTCAAAAGGAACAGCTTCCACCATGACCAACCACCAAGCAGATAGTTATGGAAGGAGTAAGCTTAAAACTCATTTTAAGAACCAGCCCAGTGTCTTTCTTACTCTTACTCAAAAACTCATGCAGGCAGAGGAAAGGACAACATGACAGGAAAACCTCACCACATGGAGTCACTTTCAATTGCTGCTCATTTATTTGGAAGATTGAAATGTGCTGCGACTGCAATGGAAAATGACTCACAGAGTAAAGAGGTTTACCTGCATGCAAAAACATTGAATAAAAATAATTTCATTAACCAGTTACAGCACCCATTCCTTCTACAATAGAACTCTGAAGAAATAAAGAAACCTCTGGAAGAAAGCAACAGTGTGTCATAGTGGATTTTGCATGTTATAGATATAAACTTGCTGCAAACACAATGTCCCTCTTCAGCAGTCGAATTCCTTCAGCAAACTTATTTTCAAGCTCAACATTCCCAATGGCTTTTGCAGCCTGACACATCTGCCGAAGAAGTTCTTCAAGGCGTCGCATGCAGCGAATGATGCCACCTTCAAAGATGGTTGTGATTGTGAGAACGTGTGCAAATGAGGCACCCCGACACCAGGCTAAAACTGGCTGAAGCAAGTATGGCTTCAATCTGTCGACATACAACTCTTCATCAATGTCTAAATGAGCATCTTTGGCAACTCGAGCAATTCGACGGGCCAGGTCCTGCATCTCCTTCATTTGACCCATTATCTCCTCAGGAATGACAGGGGCATCCAGAGATTTCTCATCACAGACAAGGCAGCTGAGAAGGGCCACAATTTGTGCTGCTTCCATCTCATTAAACATTCCATTGAAGATCATCTCTGTGAGCAACAACTCATCCCCACAGCTTAACTCACATGCCACACGACCTTTGACTTCAATCACATCAGAACTGGTGCAATACTTGAGGCGTCGAAGGACCCGCTTCCTGCACTTGAGTTCGTCCAGCTGAATAACGGACAGAGTTTTCCTGAGTTCTGATTTTGCAGCCTGGAGATCAACCTTGGCCCGCTGTTTCTCTTTATACAAAGACAAGAGTTCCTTCAATTTTGGCTCTGTATGCAAATGATGCTTCTGAAGGCGTGCTTGAAGATCTTTCATTTGTACTACTAAAGTCTTCAGTCCTTCATCTTTAATGCCCATGTCATCAATGGGATCCAATAGAGGGAGCCCACTAGGGAACCGCTTTTGGACTTCTTCAATGGTCTTCAAAACACTCATCTTGCTGTCTGGAGCTCTCAGATCCTTGGGAATGAAGACACGAACCGAAGAGACCTCAGTAATGAGACTCAGTGGCATGCCAAGAATATGTGCAGCAGGGAGCTTCCCTTTTGGTGTAGGGGTGACCATATCCCATCTTGGTTCTTTCTGGGTATCCTTTGACACACGAAGCACTACCATGACAGAATAAGAAGGGTTGGCCTTATCAGTTGCATCAACTGATTTTTTGAAGTCTACCACCACCCCCCAACCAAAATCTTTCTCCTTGTTCACAATGTGAACCATTCTACCAGCCTGGAGGAATGGGACAAGATATTTGGGTTTGGTGATGTACTCATGGAAATTGTTCATCAGTGACCTCAGGGTATCCTCCATCTGGTGATAGCTAGAAACATGATTTTCATCTGGTACTGTGATAGAATTGTAACAAGCCTCAAGCTTCTTCACTTGCAGCTTCAGGTCTGGAATGGCTTGATAATGCTGAAACTGATAGAAACTGCGCTCCAACACATATTCAGGATTGATCTCTTCAACACGCAGGAGATTCAGCACCATGTTGTAGGTGATTCGAAATGATGAATTCAGTTCATCTGCCTGGCCCTGCAGAAGATTCCGAGCAATGGCAGGAGACATGCTGGCATCAATCATGAGGATGACAATGCCCTTCTCGTCCAAGCCACGTCGACCTGCACGTCCTGACATCTGAATGTATTCACCAGATGACAGCCAGCGGTAATCCTTTCCATCAAACTTTCGAGCAGAAGTAAACACTACTGTTCGTGCAGGCATGTTTAATCCCATTGCAAAGGTCTCAGTTGCAAAAAGAGCCTTGATGAGTCCCTCAGAAAAAAGGATTTCAATGGTTTCTTTCAGAATAGGAAGGAGTCCACCATGATGAATTCCAATCCCCCTCTGCAACAGAGGTAAAACACTTGTCACCTGAGGCAGTTTTCTATCTTCCTCACTAAGGATGTCCATGGCATTCTTGAACACCTCCCCCACCAACTTCTTTTCCTGTGAACTGTTGAAGTCCAACTTTGCCATGTTTAGAGCATACAGTTCACAGTCCCGCTTACTGAAGCTGAATACGATGACTGGGGCCATGTTTCGCTCTAGAACCATCTTCACAATCTTGTAGCAATTTGAATCTTCCTTGAGACCCCCTTTACGTCCCTTGTTAGCAGCATCACCCTTAGATGCATCACCAGCATTCTGCAATACTCCCATGATACGACTGAAATTCTCTTCTCTGAACTGGCCCTTCTCATCAACAACAAGATGGATCCCATCACCCCCACAGGGAAAAGCATAATGCTGAAGGGGAACAGGCCTGTAATCAGTATAGACTACATGACAAGGCTGCTTATGCAGGTGGCAGATCCAGTGAGCAAACTGCATGGCATTTGGGATGGTGGCAGAAAGAAAGACAAATCGTGCACTATCAGGCAAGAGAATGATGGTCTCTTCCCATACGTAACCTCGTTCCTTGTCTCTCATGTAGTGAATCTCATCAAAGATCACCCAACCAACTTCCCGAACCACTTCAGAACCACGGTATAACATACTCCTCAAAATCTCTGTGGTCATGATGAGGCATCCTGCATTGGGGTGAATGGTCACGTCTCCTGTCATCAGTCCCACATCCTGAAATTCTTCATAAAACTCTCTGTATTTCTGGTTGCTCAATGCCTTGATGGGTGTGGTGTAGATGACTCGCTGTTTCTGACGAAGAGCCAAGGCAACTGCATATTCAGCCACAACAGTCTTCCCAGCAGATGTGTGTGCAGAAACAAGCACACTCTGATTGTTCTCAAGGCATAAAATTGCCTCCTTCTGAAAGGGGTCCAAAACAAACTTGTACTCTTTGACTAAGCCATGGCTTGGTTTCTTGAGTGGAACAGGGCCAGTTCCATTCAAGACAGCTACCTCGTGAACACAGCCTTCCCCAGAGTCATATACATGTCGTTCTGTCCCTTCGGCCAAGTTTTCATCAGGGAAAGTTTCTGATTCTTGTTCCTCAATGGCTCCATCTTCATCTGGTATGACCTCTTCCAGGACATTCACACTAACCTAGGATCAAACAAATCTCAGCTTTATATGAATACCATTGCCATAGCAAAGGTTATGATTGATTACCTTTACACTTGTCAAACTGTACATGAACAAAAGAACCAGCCAGCACTGTATGAAGAGAGAATTGATTGGTGGCAGCTCCTGATCTTTAGCGGCAGTAGGTCATCAATGAAGACAGGGTAGGCCTGGGTCTACCATACCACCATTGACAATCAGTTGATCAGTTGCTAGCCATATACTGAAGAACTACTAGGGTGTTGTGTGCCACTATTGGCATTTGTTGACCAACAATGAACTATGACAGAATTTTTGTATGCATCTGTGCATGCTGTCCTACATAAAGAACATCAGGCATATCTGGGCTAAGATATAGCAACAATATTGGTATCAGTTATTGGAGCAATCATCAATGGAATACCATGTATAAGCAAAACATGATGCTGCTGCAGTCTTAGTGTAAATATTGCCATATTAAATTTATGTTGTTCAGTTTACTAAGTTTTAATATTGGTTACGTTCAATTCCAATTCGATTTTATCTGCAGTTATCAGGAGTCCTAAACTGAAAATGAACTATAGTTTCAGAATAATTTCTAAAACTTCTGTCAAGTGGAAATAAATGGGAATTACATTGAAAACATAGGTAATCTGCATCTGTGCTTAGGATACCTTGTAACACATAAGAAATTCAACCCCAGCTTAAAACCTGGCTGTTTTGTTTTAAAACTATGCTTTGAAAATGGGAGTCCTGAAGGTACAATTCATTTAACTCTTGTTAAGTTCCAGTTTAGTCAGTTTCAACATGCTAACAAGAAGTAGAATGAGAGCAATTCAACCCCTTAAATGGCAAGCTCCAGAAATTCTCAGATTGGTGCAACTTCTTGTTTCCAAGAGAGTCATGTGGAAATTAGCTCCAACGCTCTTCAACAGTTGTCTTCTTCCATGAGTGACTCCACATTTTTCAAAGCAGATTTTGAAGTATAGGTAATGATAGTTAAATTAGGATGTTAATACTTAAGGGCAAGCAAGGAAAAACTACCAGTGAAGGGGTTAATGATGAAGTAGTTTCAGTTACCTAGATCATTGGTTCTCAACCTTTTCGATCCTGTGGCCCATCTTAACAACTACGAAGTGATCTGCGGCCCACTAAAGACTTAAAAGCCATATATTTATTGTTTGACAAACTGTTAATTCCTATTTCTAGATTTACGGATACTTGTCATGACCCACCCACAGCACCTCCGCAGCCCACCGGTTGAGAACCACTGACCTAGATGCCAAATGAACTAAAAAAGTGACTTCACAAGGCCAGTTTAGTTATTATTTTCTGATATAAATTGAAACTGAACAGATGCATGAAATCACAGAAAGCATGAGGGTTGATAATGCAATCATATTGTGCAGTAATTTTTTATGCTTGCCTGTTAATTTATTCAAGATCTGTCATCTCCTTGCTTATAGGGATAGAAGCAAGCAGAGATCCAACATTTGTTAAACCAAAGCCCTCGTAAAAATACCTATGTTAAAACATCAAGGTAGTCAACACCTATTAGGCTATGCCTTATCCAAACCAAGTCCACCAATTGTGGCATTGACATTATGATACCCTACAGATAACTCCTGAGGCAATGATCTGATGGAAGATCACATTAGGCAATATAAATTTTCTTGAAATGATATGAGGGCAGGGCTTATAGGAATACAAATAAAGCTACCCAGAGCATACCTCATCCTGCAAAGGAGCAGCACCCAAAGATATGATTGGCCCAACAACAGGTGATTCAGTCTCTGAATCTTCATCAAATTTTTTTCTCTTTGGTTCACTTGGTCCTCCATCAACATCAAATGCAGCAAAAAGGTCTGCACTCCCAAAATCAGCCATTCATCTAAGACTGTCCAGGCTGGAACGAGACCTAAGTGTGCCTCTTGCAATCTGGAGTCATAAGCAGAAGGTAAGCATGTAAGCAGACATATGATATGTTAGACCTATAGAACTAAAACATTTAGAAAGAGAAGCATCCTAGCCCTAGTGGCCTCAGTTCATTCAGAGCTAGAGAATGAAAATTCATTTATGTAGGGGTGTGTTGCCTTCTCTGGGTAAGGTGTTGTTTTGTTCCTCTGAATTAGAGGTTCCAGAGTTCCTGCTACTTCTCTGAATTTAAGAATGTCAAAGTAACATCCATGATCCTTTTAATTACAAAAGGTTTTTAAAGGGTAGGTTGTGACCCAATGGACACTGAAAGGTTCAATGCAAATGAAAAAAAAAGGTTGGGAACCACTGTTTTAACCCATGCAGAGTGTATGCACATCCTGGACATGTAACAAGGTGCTTTACATGAGTCAGTTGAGTTGCTGAATGCCTCCTGAGGCATCTTTCAACAGGTGCAGTCGTCATTAAAAACCTGAATAAATAATTGAATTTCCCTATTCAGGGGCAAAGAACATTGACAGGTCTGAAGAAAAAAAAAATAATCCACCTTAACCAAATGAAAGGAGAAAGAAACTTGGGGGAAAAGAGTTTGATCTTCAACACACACCAAAGCACTGATATAAAATACAAGCCACAAATCTGCATGAAATTCAAATAGCAGTACAGAATATCCCTAAACTAAAACCAACATGAAAAATACTGCCTGTTATACACCTGTCATAGAATATTGATGTACAAGGAAGATCTTTGACTGTAATGTACATGGTTAAATCAATTAATAACTTGGCCACTTCCAAATGAAGTCATTTACATTCATTATGGCAGGGCATCCCAACCTGTGGGTCACAACCCCATTAGGAGTTGCCAAAATCATATTTGGGGTTGTGAACTGGCAACAAAATTCCAAGTTATGTTTTTCTTTGTGATTTTAGTGCATAGGTGGGAGAAGCCCTTCGAACTTTAGCCAGTGCTTGGGATCCTGAGTGGTATGATCACTATTTTTGGGGTCCCACGTGAAAAAGGTTAGGAAGCCCTGCACTATGACAAGGTTTCCCCAGAGGAAATTCTTGAAGTTGATAAGCCATGCAATGCAATCTCATGTGCAATCTCAATAATGAGAGGTGAGTTAGAAGAAATGTACAGATTCATGCTTGGAAGGGGGAAAGGGGAGATTCATAGGGGCCAGGGCCAGGCCCAGGCATGTGAGGACTGCTCAGATTCTTGGTGATTATAAGGCACTTTTGATTGAAAGCAGATTCCAGACGAAGTCAAGAAAAAACTTACTAAATTGGGACTGGGTTTGGGACCTGGGGCAACCCATTTTCAGAAATTATTTAAACTTCTCAAAAAATGGTTTTGCTGTCATAGCAATAAAAAGAGGTGGCAAATTTAATTATTCAAGTTAAAGGTAATTTAATGCTTTCATATGACAAACATTTAATTTTATTACCAGGATTTAAAAAGTTTTGAATTTTTTAAGCAGTGAGGACAAGTCTGGAAGCTAAAAATCAACATGACCATCCCCTCATTTTTCCAATGTGAAAGATGCACTGATGCATGTTTTACTGAGTTAAGTTTTTCCTTTCTTTGAGATAAAGAAGAAAGCAGTTTCTGCTCTTTCTAAGGCCTTCTGTCACAGAATTCAAACATTTTGAAAGTTTTGCCCATATGATGATGCTGACTCATCATGACAATAGGATCATGAGGTTTGTCTTATGGATTCTATGTAAGATCATTAGCAAGGTTAGAATTCTGTCAAGGGTAACTCAGATAAAATATTTGTATATCGAAAACTATGTATTACATGCATAATTATATTCATTAACACGTTGACGACCAGCCTATTTTTGCTTGTCCGCCGCGTGGGACCACGTGAAATCATAATCTTCTGGAACGTTCTCAACAGTTCCATTCATCGAAAAAAAATATGCATCCTGGCATCAGGACGCATTGTCGCCAACGTGTTAAACTGAGATCATATCCAGATTATATCCAGTTGACTGCACTCTCTGAGTTCTACTGAAAAACTCAGAAGAATGAATGCAGCATTGACTGCAGTTTATATGGAATGCACAGTGAGAGGTCAATGGGTATAACAAACAGTACAATCAAAACTAGCTTGTTAAACCTAAGTCAATCTTAAGAATAAGAAAGCCAAATTTTTTTACTTGCTAAATCAACTTCTAACATTGTTACAGAATAGCCATGAGTTCACAAGATTTGTGTAACAAATCCAGGTGTGCAAAAGTTGACATGAATTTACATTTTCTTTTTCTTTGCCATTTTCAACTTATTCACCTTTTTGCCTGGTCTTCTGCAATTGCTTTCCCTAATTATTTCTAACACATCTGCAGGGTATCATGTTCTTTCGTACGAACCTGGATGGGGACTCAGCAAGGGCTATTGTACGTCTTGTGAACACCATGTACAAGGGTGGAGGCCTAAAATATATTTGCCAGCTTTGATTCAGACAACTTAGACAGCTTGCCAATTTCTCAAGGGAAGTGCCATATTGAAGCTATGAAACTAGCTTTTTGCCCACATTTTAACAGTTTCGATTGTTGGGCAGCTGACTTCACAAGCAAGTAATGCTACATATTTTATGCCTACCTTGATACAAACCACATTCCTAAAAATGTTAATTAACAAAACTGCTTGCCACTGGCATGGATGAGGCAGTCACAATGGGGGAGGGGGGCACTCGGAGGGACTTATGTAATTGCGAAAAGCTGTTTCTGCTATGGAGTCTTGGAGTCATGTACCACTTTCAAATTGAATTGACCATTCAAATTGACCCCTAAAGCATTTCCATTGATTTCAGGTAGTGATGCCATCCAATAGGGTGGTTTTTTGATCATGGGATAAAGCCATGACTAGAGAAGAAAAAAGGTATTGAGTGCATTTTGGCATATGGGAATTTATTGCATAATTTTGCCAGGGGACCATATGCTTTCATTGATAAAAGTTGTTCTGCCACCAAGGAGAGATAGGCAAACTTCAGCAGGAGCAGGAAGGGATAGTGAGGAAAATTTGAGTGAGAGCTTCCTCAATACAAATGCATGGAAATACCAAGAAAACAGACAGACAAGGGATTACAACAAGTGGTTCATGTCATCCGCTTAAGAAACATACAGGGAAGGGAGAGTGGCAATATGTTCATGTTGCCATATAATAGGTGTACACACAGCCTTATGTAAAGTGTACACATAGGCATACAGTGGGTGTTCACATAATGAACTCAGGGTGTACATGGGTGTTCACAAGACATACAATAGCCTCTGAGTTTAGTTGCCAATAAACTTGATCTACCTTATTTCAGATTGAATTCGTACCCTCCCTTGGTAATGAAGAATAGAGTCACTACTTGCAGTCAATTCAAGCAGACCTATCAGGGAATAAAAATTCAACCTAAATACATGGTGGACCTTTTTTTTTCCATAAGTGAGAAAAATCTTGAAAAATGACAATTTTTTATGATAATGTAATAAAACTGTGTGTTTCTTCAAACTAATAGTCACTGGATTTCTTAGCATCAGCTAATGCAAGGCATATGAGTGTGAGGAGGACATGTCAATCAAGTTAATACACCAGGGTTTCTTCTGATGCTAGTATAGAAATAAATCAGACTTAACTTTGAAAGTAATGCTGACCCCATCTGGGCTTGGTTTACTATACTGACAAAAGTACGTGAACAAAGGGACATTTCCATTCTCTTGTGAACGCCTAGGCCTCCGAAGGCTTTGACACGTAACGTTAACTCGCTTTGTACACGCTTTGCTCTACTTGGTCTCCTCTACCACCAAGACTCCAAACTAAGGCTCAAGAACAAAAAATCGAGGCCTGCTTTGATTTTTGCTCTAATTGCTACGATTTTGGGAGGAATGTTCGACATGAAGCATTCCCGATCACTTAGCACAAAGGTTCACCGTGATCTCATTCCCTTGTCACGTTGCACCGAATGCCGCCACGCGCTGCGCGTTGACATGTCTACGCAGGGATCTCCGATCTTGTTTTTCATATGGTGCCCACTGTTCAGTGCCTCGTGGTTTTTTCATGTTTTGCTTAAAATGCTCTATCTTACATTTAAAACTTACCTCAAGGTAATTTACTTTGCAAAGTGTTTTTCGATTGAGTCAGAAAATTTTTCGCTTGACTTGGACACGTGCAGGGAACGTTCCTCATGCGTAGGAGTCAAATGAGAACCATCTCTTGGATTTCCTAGAAGGAAACGCGCTCATTCGGGACTCTCAACACGGCTTTAGGAGGCGTCGAAATTGTCTCACCAATTTGCTCGAATTCTACGACTGGGCAACGGAAGAGAGGGATAAAGGAAATCCCGTGGACATCGTCTATTTAGATTTCGCGAAAGCTTTCGATACCGTTCCTCACAAGAGGTTGCGGGTTAAACTGGAGGCGCACGGGATCCAGGGTAGGACGAGTGAGTGGATCAGTAGCTGGTTGGCAGGACGAGAGCAACGGGTGATGATAAATGGGGAAGCGTCGGAGGAGGT